GGCTAGTACCGCCAGCTAGGATAAACCTGCCGACGGTGAATTCTTGTAACCTTGAATTTTCCGAGTACACTCGACGGAGAAAGTACTGCCGCAGTGTACAAGTGCAATTCTGACAGACTTGGACTCGGTCCCTATACGTGGCACTCATCGGACGGTGCCAGCCCCAGCCAGCGGAAAGTTCGGGACCCCGAAATGTACCTAGTTAAAGTGCGCTTTTTGACAACGGGATGGTCAATGTAGTGACTCCCTTCCCGGTTATCTTTGTTCTTTGCTGAGCCGTCGGAAAGCGCGCCACGTCTTGACGTCTCACTCAGTGTGGCTCAGGCCACTGGCAGCTTTGAAGACAATCTTCTACTATTTTTGGGTGCACAAGTTTGCAGGCGTCAGTAGAGCTGGCGCGCTCGTATCTGGCAAAAGGATGATCAGACTGCATTATGTCGAGGCCACCAAGGTGGCGGCCGGAAGGCGCGTACGCTTGCGCGGCAGAGCGCCTGGCGGCCACGTTTCACTGAAGGGGGCGGAATTGCAACCGCCATCCGTCAGCCTGTCTCAGCCTGTCTCTCAAATTTATCAGGAAGACAGCCAGCTATAGCCATATATGGGATCTGATCCCGGACGATCGCGGATCGACCCGGCAGAGCGGATCCGCGGCCGCGACGCATGCGCGACCGCCCTTCTCAGGGTTCAGAGGGTTTAGCTAGGTTTGTACTGCTAAACCTGTGCTTCAGTTTACCTACAAACTGTACATAAGGGGAGAGTCGTACCGTGAATCCCAAGACTGGAGAGCACGTTCTGTCAGCAAGCGCTGTTAAGAATTCTGTCAGTCATATCTCGCGCAGCTACACGCTGATGGGTTTTGAGGGGCCAGCCAATCCTGGCCGTTCCGAGCTTGTCAAATCTTACCGTGACGGTTACACCGTCTTGCTGCACGACGCAGGAGTCCGAGAGAAAAGAGCCAAGGTGTTCTCAGAGGAGAAACTGGATCACCTATTAGCTTTTCTCGGGGGGGGAATTGCCTGCAGCACCGGGCTCGACCAATGCAATCTGCTGATGGATCGTGCAGCGTTCTTATACCTTTGGGAGTCCAGGGCCCGCGATAAAGAATGCGGGGAGTTACTGCACAGACAGGTGAACGGGTGGAGGGGGTCGCTCTTCCTGGTTGGTCGAAAACCGTGCGGCAAGAACCGTCGGCACGGATTCCGCTCACCAGCCCAGAAAGTTCCGCCCGTTTGTCTTTCCTGGAGGCGAGTGCTCAGCTAATCACAGCGCTTGAACGATTAGGATACGAGATAGAGGAGGATGGTTGTTTGTTTCGGTGCATGACTCGAGATAGGAAAGGCTATGCACCAGGCCCGATAAGTTCGGGCACTCTGCGTAAGAGATTGCAGAAGCATTTGCGGGCTGCCGGGCTGTTTGAGGGCGAGACTTTACACAGCTTCCGGCGCTCTTCCATCCAGCACGAGGCCTTGAGTTTCAACTACAGCATCCGAGAGTTAATGGAAAAGACACGACATAAGTCTCTGAGTGCTTTCAAGCTCTACGTAGAGGAGATATGGGAAACAGTAGTACAGAAAGACCGACTACTGCGGCCGCGTTAAGATAGGGATTTATCCTCGAACGAGCATGCAATTAGCACGTCTCACGTCATGCTCAGGTGTATGATGCGATCTTGCGACCTTTCAGCATGTCTAACCGAACAGCTTGGAATTGTGCACAGTTGCTGATCATTCAAGATGCCAGACCTAAGACCATAAAGGTTATGAAACGGAAGCGCATCGCACCAACTTCGACTTCACCGTGCATGTCTGAGCGACTAGTGGGGCCTTGTGCTACCGTTCTGGGCGGTCGTGCTACATCCGCTCGAAAACTAAGCACTGGAAACTGTGTTTGTATGTTAGTTCCTCCACTCGATCTTTATTGCACTAAGCGAGAAGTACGCTGGATTGACCACGCTTTCTGGCACTCTCAGGCTGGGATCGCAAGTCGACTCGCTCCTGGGCAGCTCTACTGGCTCGGGCGGGGAGGCGAGATCCCAGCTGTGCATGACGTGCCACCAGTTCGTCGCGTTCCTGCGCGGCACGATCAGAATGCCGTTGATCCTGAACTTCTCGATCAGACGGATTGCTTGTGCCACGTGCCTCAGAGGGGGGAACATCCAGGCCCAGTCCCCTTCCTTGAGCAGCTGCCGCCAGTCTTGATTCAGTGCGTCCACGGCGAGGCAGCCGGGTGTGAATTCCTTCGAGACGAACTTCTCTGTCACGTGCCAGATGTCAGACGCAAAGAGGTCCACGGAGGGTTTAACGCCAAACCAGGCCGTCACTTTCTGGAAGAGAGGGGAGCTCAGACCCCAGTCAGAGGCATCCGGGAAACGACTCAGTGCATCCTCTTCTTGCATCTCCTCCCGCGGCTTCCAGTAGGCCTTGACGTCCACCCCGTTTTCGCACGAGAAGAGGAAGAAATCTTGCAGGATCTTGTTGACGTCAGGGCTGCTGCTTCGCATGCTATTAATAGCATAGGTCGCCCCTCGATTGTCAGTCGTGAGAACCAAGCAGGAGTTCCTGATGGCCGACGGTCCGGCAGCCTGTAGGGCGGCTTGGAGGGTCTTCAAAAGGCCCTTCATCTCCCGAGCTGTGCTCGACAGAGCTGCTTCCTCTTGGGAGAAAGTCCCGGCGATCTGCAGTTTGGCTTTGCCGGGGAACTGGACGAAACCCCCAAATCCGACGTCTGAAGCATCAGATGAAGTTTGAAGGGTTACCGGGAAAGTGTGCCACCTCCTTCCGTTCCACCGATCGAAGTTTTCCAAGAAGAGCCGGGCACTTTCTTTTACTTCATTTGGGTTCTGGAAAACCTCGTCCCAGCTCAGCTTTCCTTGCATGGCTGCAAAAAGCGGACGGCTGAACAAGGATGCGGGAAGCATTGCCGGGCCTAAGGAGACGAGTTTCCCTGCCATGGAGGCGAGCATCCGGGCCGTGACGTCGTTCGCCTCGAGAATCTGCTTCAGAACTGCTACAACTTTGAGCTTTTTCTTCTCCGAGATCCGGAAGAGCTCGTGAAGAGAGTCCACGACAAAGCCGAGCCAATCGGCAACCTGAGCAGGCTCCAAGAGACACTTTGGGATGCTGAAGTGAGCCCCTAGAAGCGTGAGAAGCTTGAGAATCTTGACAAGGATCCACCTGCAGTTTGCTTTGTCTTGGCTCGCCGTCAGTCCGTCGTCCACGTAACCCGAAACGTAGACTCCTCTTGCTCGCAATTCGAGGAGGAAATCACGGTGTAGAAGTAGCACGCTTGAGCATAGCCAAAGCTCACAACGTTGTAGTGGAAGTAGACTTCGCCCACCTTGAATCCAAAGTAGGTTCGAAAGTCTGGATGAATGAGCACATGGAAATAGCCAGACTTGAGGTCCCAAGTTGCCGTGAAACCCTCCTTCCTAAGAAACACGAGGATGTCACGGAGCTTCTCGTAGTTGAAGTCGTATTTCTTCATGAAGAGGTTGATGTAGCGAGCGTTGAGGATCTTTCTAGGCTTGGGATTGAAAACCACACCAATCGGGTTCACCACCTTGGGCTTGCTTCCCTTGGGGTAGGCCGAGATCGCTCCGGATGCCAAGTTATTCTTGACTTCATTCCAGACAAAGTCCGCGTTGTCCTCTGCTGATTGATGGTTGGAGAACTCCACTCTGCTGGGAAATTTGCCGCTGAGGAAGGAGTTCACTTCCCTTTTTAGAGCTGTTTGGTGGAGCATGGCTCTCACCACTTTCCTCTTGGAATCGAGAGCTTTCTCCGTTCCTTCAAACGACGGCTTCAGGCCGTCTTTCAGGGCTCCCAAAACCAACTTTGAGGTCTTTCTCTTGGAGTACTTCAGGAGCTCCTCCCAAGCGGGGAGAGTTTCATTGAAGTTTCCTGCCCTAAACTGATCGGGATCGAGGACGTTCCTTTTGACATCTTTGAGCCAGGCCAGGTCCGCCTCTTCATTTAGTTCGTGTTTGCCTTGGCCAAATGCGTCTACTTCAGCGAGGACCGCTCTCACCCCGTCCCTGAGGGTTTCCGAGTCGTAGTCGAAGGGAGCTCTGACCGGAATGGCTGGTACCTCTTCAAAAGTGCAGAGCTTTGTTAGACTTGGTCGAAACTTATTCGGCTCGGTTGCAGAATCGGGAATGAGCGGATCTGCTTCGCAGTCAACCTCCTCGCTTGGAGACTCGGAAGTACTCTTCTCAAGTGACTCCTCTTCTTCGGCTTCAAAGCTCAAGCCTTCCAGTAAAGGCCCTGGGTCGAATCGCGTTTCTTCCTGACCCCTGTAATCATTCGAGACTCTATGAGTTGCAGTTGATACTTCGAAGTCCTGCGCCGTATTCTCTCGGAATGATCCAAGGTAATGCGTCAAGCTAGCTCGGCTAATTGGAGCTAATATGTGAGGCTTTTAGTCTCTTTGAATATCAAATTGCACCTTAGACAGGTCAGGTAGCTGCTTACCCCGGATTCTTGTGATCAGAGGTACGAGGGGTTCTTTCGGGTCTTGCTGGGATAAGGGACTTTTTTGATGATCTGCATTTTTGAGCAGTGGCCTATTTTTGGTACAAGAGTGTGTGAGATGGCCAATCAGGTCCAATCTGCAGTGCATCTCGGATGAGAATATTTCGATTAATCTGCTTGGCATGAATTGCGCCACCTTCAATGTGCGGCATCACTAGGATAACATTGTATCCAGATGAGCGGAATCAGGACTAAGAGTACTTACTCAGATCGTTTGCACAAAAGGGCAGTGCAATCGTCAGGGTTGTCTTCGATCATTGCATCACTTGTGGACCTGATGAAAGGACATCATGAACGGCTCAGTAGGAGCCGCTTGCGCATGATGCACACTTACAGTTTCAAAGCGTAGGCAGCATAAGTGCAAGAAACTGACGTTGCACAGCCTGTTCAAGTACAATCATGAATGCATCATCAGGTTGCTGTACTATGCTTACTCATGTTGCAGGTCAGCTCGAGCAGTTCGATCATCGCAGAATTCAGCCTCTTGATGAAGTGCGTGAATGTCATCTCTGAATGACAGGGAATTGAGCTGAATTGAGTTGAATGCAAAATCCAGAAGCATAACGGGGGATCCAGTGACGTCTCCTGAGAAGCTCACCAGGTCCCTATTGTCACTTTAATCGATTCCTCTAACCTCTCTTCTGCCTCTAAGCAAACCGACATCAGCTAATAGTCTGAATCTTTTGGAAGTATCAGGATTTACAAACTGCTCAACTTTGGACCATGTCTCTGAATGATTTTCGTCAGGCTATCTACCTTCTAGGTCTCTTCCCCAAGGTGTGATCATCTCGTTCATCTTGGCTTCTGTCTTCATGAGCACGATTGGGACCTCTCGGTCCGGGACCCTTGTTTGGACCGTTCTTCCTGCAAGCAATCACAGGTCTTCATTAAGAATGACCTGCCTGTTGCAAAGCGACCGCCCTATTCAAGCTGGTCGACTGTGAGCACTTTCAGCCAAAAGGCAGCTTCATTTAGAAGTTGGATGTAATGACAGTTGGACATTTCGTCCCCCAATAAAGGGATGCTCTTGGAACTCATCCAGAACAAATGTAACGCCGACGTCTCATTCGAGAAGGCATCTTTCTCAGAATTGTCTGCAAGTGCTTGAAGCCAGCAGCTCAAGACTAGAATCATTCACTGATTAACGGGGGATCTCACCTTGCATCTCCCCATCCATTGATCGGTTTGACGTTGCCTCTAGAGAGCTCTTTCTCAGCCATGGCCAAGAAGTGGAAGAACTTCTCACGGATCATGCTCTCTATCTCAGGACAGTATCCTTGGACCAGGTTTCACTCTTGCCAAACTTCCGGAGATCTGCCTTAACCTCAGCGCAGTACTGCGTAGCCATGTACTCGCAACCTGTGGAGACATAGTTGATTCTCGAGGCGAAGAAATACGTGGCTGCCATGAGCCTAGCGGTCCTTGCATCAGCTTCCTTGTAGACATCTAGGAGATACCGAGCCTTGGATTTCCAAGACTTCTGCATGTCAGGGTAATCTTGCATCACAACCTCCATATAGTCAGTCAAGGAGCCTCTCATTGCAATCTGAGAGACCGCTTCTTTCAGCAGATCAAAGTTGAATTCTTCGGAAGGTCCATCTGGAGCAATCTTGAACTTCTCCCAGAAGCTTGGATCGAATTGAGGTTCCTTCCTGTTTGGTGTGCCTAATCTGCTGGGGGCCTGTGAGCCTCCTGCCCCAAACTGAGTGGATGAAGGGTCGACCTTAGTTCCGTTTAGGTCAGCTTGCAAGAACAGGGAGACATCGATGCACTGTCTCAAAAGAGCCTGGATGAGAGGGTCTTTCAGCAGCCTGGATCCGTAGCCGATGCTCAAATCCTTGAGGGGTACAGGACGAGGAAACTCGTTGCCGTAGTTGTCTTTGACTAGGACGGCTTCCGAATCTTGCTGAGCCTCCTGAGCTGCATCAATCACTTCGCACCAGATGGGACTATTCTCTGTTTGATGTAGGAGCTTGAAACCCTTCAGAGCAGCCGGTCCTCCCGATAGCACCACCAGGGCTTTCAGATGGTGATCCATTCTGTCAGGCCACCAAGAGAGGGCCACGGGAACTCCTTCTCCAAGCTCCAATGGAGAAGCTTCTTCTCCAAAGAAAGAAAAATGGCGCCCTCTTAGCAGCGCCAAGACGCGCTGCTGCTGCCGCCTCAACTCACAGTGAAGTGAAGAAGATTCGACTGCAACCGAGGTTTTGTTCACAATCTTGCTGAGGCTGCCGCCTAGTACTCAGCAAGTTTCGAATTCGAAGAGGCCAAACCCTGAGGGGAGGGTTTGGCCGCCGCGGTCGCGCGCGATTCGCACAGGGTTTAGGGCTTTGCCCGGCAGTCTGGTGCCTTAAGACTTCTCGAGCATCTGATGGCCGTCCACAGATCGGACGGACGGCCCGCATTCCTTACGTCAAAGGGAACCGGACTCGCTCTCAGTCCGCTCTCGTTCGTTCTTTCCAAGTTCCTCTCTTGAAGGTTTCAAACTTCGCCCCGTATGTCTCGCTTCAGGCGGCCTCCAGCTGGCTAAGCGCACCGTTCTGTCGGCACGGCACTACTGTGTGATTGTGATCATCTGCTCGTAGCCTAGACTGGCAACATACATGCAGGGACGGTGACAAGAAAAGTCGAACTTCCGTCACTTCGTTCCATCTTGGATTACCGCCCACGTCATGAAACATGCGCAAGTCGATAAAACTGTTTAAGATTCCCAGGAACGCGAGCATATGAGAACGTTTTACGCGTAGCGGTTCGAGCCGCTGGCAAGATCTCAGCCACTTCGTACTTGTTCTTCAATACGGACTGCCGCCGCTAATTACAGGGATCCTGGTTCAGTCGTATTGTGATCGTTTAGAAATTGAGAAAATACGGGATGTGATCCCTGAAGCCCTTTTTCTCATTAAGGAAACGCGGGTCTCGCAGTAGCCCCAACAGCTGCTTCTCCACGTCCAGAACAATTTGCAGCAAAAAGACAGAAAAAGTAATTTCAACCGTTCGTTTTTCACTGATCTACCGTTGCTGCTAAATGATGGACGGGGATGTCAATCAAGCTCGCTTGGATGATTGCTTGTGACCCGACCGCTCAACAATTGGTTTGTCTGCGGTGCATTAATGGCTGTTTGGAAGTCATGAGAACTGAGGGTTCATATCTGGTCTCAAAAAATCATCGGGCATATTGGAGCAAGTATTTCGTCCATACGTTGATGCAGTATTACACCCAGGTCGGCAAAAGAGAGAGATTCAAATCACTGCCCATCCTGTGTCTAGTCAATTCATAAGGGCATCTCTGAACGGAGGCTTGCTCATCTTCAGCGGATTATATAACATCCGCTAGCTTCGTTCTAGCGTGATGCACAGTGAACATGCCAGAATAGCACCAGTCGGTGGCAGGGAGCGTGAATTGCTGACAGAGAAGCAGTTCTTGCGGAGGTGGAATACCAAGCGCAGACCATTGACGTGCTCACAAATTACACATGCCCACAAAGTTTATTTTGCAAGGTCACCAGACACACCATGGCTCCCGGTTCAATACATTGACAGGCGCAACCTGACAAAAAGGCCAAGCGAAGCAGATGCAATCGAGATCCTTCTTTGCGTTTCAAGACCTTGAAGTGTAATCTAGCACTGAAAACTTCCACTAGATTCAAGATACAAAAATATGACAGGGAGAGCCGCCTTTGGTTAGATCCGTCTGCGTCTTAGCCCCCAAAAAGTACCCCGACTTGAATTGCATTTTTTACACAGCCTGTTGCCGCACTCCTAGGACAAGAACTTCAATGGTGTCTGGAGGAGTATTCGATGAGCTAAAGTTAGCGAGAAATTTGAGCACGAGGAGTCTTGAGGGGCCACCCCACATTGGCCGAAGGGCCTTGCCAAGACTTCAACCGCTCAGATTATGATTGCCATCTTATGCACCCTTATAAAACCAGTCGTTTGGATCATGGGGGTCGGGGTCCTGATAGACGAGGCAGCCCGTAACTTCGCCTACGAGAACGTCTTCAGCAATGTCGTTGCTCTTCACAACAACGTCGCACTCCCACGGCCAAGGTTCAATTATTCGTGAGCAAAACCTTGCTGGGTGGATAGGATCTTTGTTCAAGGACAGGTAAGCCTCCACATGCATCCTCCCATCGTTGATCTGGACCGAGCTTCTTCTTCCCGCATTTTCTGCCTTGTCGCATGGAGCAAACACGTAGGCTGGGAGAAGGTCGAGAGGATTCACAGTTCTGATGCCATACGCCCGGTCGCCAGTGTTCGGTAGACCAAACGCTGCGTAGTCTTGAAACAATTTTGTTCCAGCAGCATGGGCAGTCCAGAACATGTTTCCCTGCTGTCTGAACAGAAGAAGACACCGGGCCACGATGCTCGCATCAACAATAGAAGCTCTGCTATTTCCGGGACTGAATTGGTTAAAAAGGAACCACGAATCTGATATGGAGTTTCGCTGACGTCCTGCTCTGATCAGCGCCAGCTGCTTGTACCCTCCCAGGCTATCCACCTCCACATCCAGCTCAGCACAAGTGACGTAAGCATCGCGAACCTCCGTGTTTTGTTCAGTGGGCGCCGACCCAAGAAACGCCTCTTTCCACACGACGCGGTTCCCCTCCGTTACCCGAAGTAAATGCTTGCAGGAGCAAGTGGCTCTCAGCAAGGAGACGGGGTCCTGAGCCGCTAGCTTGCGAACGACGATCAAAAGTACGTCGTTCGGAAGATTCTCCATGCCCGGCCCCGCTGACGTTCAAGGTAGACAACTTGTCTACTTGAAGCACCGTGCTTGAAGCATCGTCGCCACATGTGGCACCCGCTATAAGGTCTCGCTTGGCAGTGCGGTTTGTTCACATGACGTCTTGCAATATTGAAGATGAATAAGTTTGGTGGGCGCTCGAGCGGCCGCGGTACGACCACGGCCGAAAACGCGGCCGCGTCACGACCACGGCCGAAAACGCGGCCGCGTCCAGCGCGCTTTCTTAGACACACGCCGTTCCTGCATGTGCCTGGGGATGAAAAATAACTGCCGTTCAAAATGAAGAGCTTGCAGGTGCCGAAGCCTGAAACAAGGATTCCGACTTGGGTCCTCGGCCGCTCAGCTTGCGAAGCAAGATACAAGTTTAAGGCTTTCGGAGGTCTGCAAAGCCCAAGCCTAATCGTCGGTCACCGACTTGCCGCTTCGAGGAAGTTTCAATCATCAACACTTAACTACGCAAGTGCCGAGTTAGAGAACGAGTTCGCAGACCCAGCTCTTAATCCTAGCTAGCTAAAGTTGCAAAAGCCGCTCGGAAGTGGAGGCGACTTGCAGCCCGGCTTCAGGTCCCTGATTGTGGTCGGTGTGAATATCCGCTTGTGGTCCGTGTAGAAAAGCCACTTGTGGTCGGTGTGAAAAAGCTACTTTGTGTTATTGTAAAAGCCACTTGGTCGTCCGGCCGCCCCCGCGGTGGCATGAACATGGCCCAGGTCGAAGCTTCTTACGAAGCTTCTCACTGAGGTTCTGCAAAGCGGCCGGGCTGCCACAGATTCTGACGGCTCGTTGGGAAAGACCGAGAAACAAACTCATGACGGTTGCTGTATCCGCTTTGCGCCACTTAAACGTAAGCGTTGGCAGGTAACTGGTCACTCGAAACAGTAGCGCTCGGAATAAAGAACGGGCGACGCAAAGCCTCAAGCTATAGAACCGCTTTGATTCAAACAGTGCCAATCATGTACCTATAGGTTGTCGAGCTTGAAAGTGCAAATCCAACACGCGACAGACATGCATCCAGTTGTGACGGAGCAGCGCATAATGGTTGAATATGTAGCTGGAAATTATAATCGGATTGATCATGGGTATCTCGCAATGCCCACTGGAACATGCTACGCGGGTTTATGTATAGCTGAGTAGTACGTCTTAGTTGCGGGGACGCTCGCGCCTGGTTGCGCGCACGCTTGCGATCCTGCATCTGGGGCTCGCGCGCGGCGCCAGCTGCCGCCCCAGGAACGCGGCCGCGCGCCGTTCGGGCACCTCCTTTCTCAACGTCTGGCATCGCCAACCTTCCAAAGACGTCTTATTATACTGACCCATAAGCATGAAAAGGAACTCAGCCTCGCTTTCCTTTCTTCTCCCGCCTTTCAAGATGCCAAAACGCCTTATGTGACTTTCTATTCAACTGTAATTTGATGGTACCACAGGCGCGTTTTTGTTGACCCCTTGTTGACGAATTCCATACATGACTCGCTGATTTATCTTAGGGTGCTACTCCCGTCACTCTATTAGATTGGGTTTCTGCCCACGAAAGTAGATTCTGCATGCGTGGAATTCCAACGTAATGAACTGTGTGAATTAGGAAACGAGCTGAAACGCGGCAGAGCGGCTTGCTGGCAAACTTTCAGTGCGTTTGAAGTCAAGTGAAATTCAAACCCTCTCGTGTGCAAGTTCAACCTGATGATAACAAACAGTCTGGGGCCGCTCAAGGGTTTTAAGCATGAACGACGTAAGTCGATACCGTGCTGAGATACTGAAGAAAGGAAAGGAATGCTGAAGACCTCGTCCAGCACATTCACGGATGCGTATCTTAAAGTAATCGAAACGGGTAACTGCGCGCGTGCTCCTAGACTTCCGCTTACAATCGCAACACGGCCCTTGTCCCCAAGATACGAGACTGTACTTTTTTCAAACCGGATACGGGGACCCAAACAACACATCGCTACTGAAGTGACAGCAGGTTGGTTACTTCGAGGAACGCTGTCACATGCAGATCAACGTAGCACTTCCATAAGGGACGAACGGACGGCGAGGATCCACATATGAGAATGAAGCATGTAGGATCGATCGAAAGGGCGTGTGCTGTCATGCGGACCCACCTGCTGGCCTTGAACAAACTCTTATCCTGACTCTGCAGCTACAAAAGTCTAGCTTTCTTCTGATGGACTACCTTTGACTTGGGGAACAAGGTACACCTTCCTTGGAGCAAGATGCGTTTCCTGATTTGTTCAAAACCAGAACGTGAATGTTTCTGGTTTGTTGTAAAACCTCCTTGTTTCGCCGCTGATTGCGATTGCCTGGCTTTCGCTAACACTAGCGGCTTGTACCCGCCGTGCTCAACAGTTGCAGCGTCCAGATATTCCATATCTACAAACGGAATCGTTGTCATGTCTTGACGATAAGGCGCAAAGAAGGCTTCTCCCCAGATGGCAGGAGTCTTATTCGTCAGTTCAAAGATCGACTTGCTGACTAGGGTCGCCCGCAGTAAAGAAAGGGGGTCCTGCACCGCTAGCTTGAACAAAATTGCCAGGACCACGTCGCTTGGAAGGCGCTCCATGCCTTGGATGTATGACCTGGTGGCGGATCATAAGAAGCCCACCTTACTGAGCAGAGTCTCCACGCAAGCGTGAGTGCGGCTACCCTTCTGCTGAGTCTGATGGCGTGCATCTTTGTCAACTGAAAAACAGCGCCGCTCTGGTATTGTCGCGGCCGCGGTGGGAGAGAGTCAGTACGTCGGGCGGAACACGTAGGGCCGCGGCGCGGCCGCGGCGGGCGCTTTCCGCGTGTGACTAGTTGCATGCGCGCGTCCGCGCGGCCGCGTCACGGTCGGACGTGATTGACCGGACCAGTGGCGCGGCGGCCGCCGCCAGCTGGCACGCGGCCGCGAAGCACGTTCCCAGACAGGCTCACTCTCACTCGTCTGAGAGCAAAGACGAAGCGCCTAAGTTGCTGTCATTCGGCTCTCATTCCTTTGCCTCCGACGAACCTGTTTCCAAGGTGCCAAACTGTGTTTTGCTTGAGGCTAAGCAAACAGTATCGTGCCAGTACAGATACTAATATAGGTGTTGAATGTGGATCGGTGTTCTGCTGTTGTCACCCTCAGTAGCCTGTCACACGGTCGTCGATAGCAGAAGATCTCACACTCGTCATGTTGCGCATGCGTAATGGTACGATACTGCCCACAAAACATAAAACATGCAGGATTGGATGCGAATGTCAAAAGGGCGAGCTAGATGTAAGGAACTTCTTCGTTTTACGCGCAGTACAATTTTCCGGGAAGATGCCAAGCGCCTAATGTTGCAAAACAGAAAGAAATCCGTTCAACGTGCAATTTCGTGATGGTCACAAATCTTGCTGTCGCCCACCGATCGATGTTGCGCGAGCTAGACAAACAATTAGTCGAGCTGCTGAGAGGGAAAACGAGGGAAGAATATGCGCGATCGAGCATTTGATGTTTGTTGAGAAGCGTGTTCTGCAGTACCAAACGGCTGCTCCTCAATTATGCACTTCCATTAGCAGCAAAAGCGCTCATGTAAATATTTGATTCACTGGGACACCAACCAAGTCTCGGCCCGTTACCGCTGAAAGCGGACGGGTACGAACGGTCAGTATTATTGGGCACATTTTAACTTAGGCTGCTGCAAACATCCCCATTGTTTTCCTGTCGCATCCATGCCCGGAGAATAGTGCCACTTTTCCTTTACTCGTCAAGAACTCTCGTGTATCAGATAACAAGTCCAGTCATCAGAATATCACATGTACGTCTTGAATCCAAGTTCTATCGATTGAGCTCAACGGAGCAAAGAGCAGATTGAATCTGTCATGAGAGCTCGCTCAGAAATGAACACAGCACCTTTCTTGAAACTAATCTTATCTTATCAAGGAGCTAAGAACAGATTACGGATGTCCCAAGATCCACCCCCGCATATGCTGTAGCGCCTTGCCAAGGATCCCAGCCGCCGCAATCATTACTGTAAACTTGAACAGCCAGTCATTTTGAAGTCGGTCAGGGTCTTCGAAGATGAAGAACCCCTGTGCTTCGGCTACTGCCACAGATTTGGTAGAGGCGTCGCGGTCGATGAGAATTCTGCTATCCCATGGCCAAGGCCTGAAGCTTTGCGAGAAAACCTTGCTCGGATGGACGGAACCTCTGTTTAGCGATATAAAGACCTCTACGTTAATCTTCCCATTCTTGAAATCTTCCAGACTCTCTCCTTCCGCGTTTATGCCTCTTCGTGTACCTGCTGACCGATTTGCTGCCAGCTTGTTGCATGAAGCAGGTAAGTAGACTGGGACAAGGTCGAGAACACTCAAAGTTTGAATTCTACAGGCTCCACCAGAATTACCGTCGCCTTTCTCTGGTAGCTGAACAAAGGCTAAATAGTCGGTGAGTGACTTTGGCTTCTCAGTGTAACCGGCAGCCCAAAGAAGATGGCCTCGCTGTCTAAAGACAGCCAGAAACCGGAAAAGGTTGCTCTCGAAGTCGGCATCTAATTTGCTGCTGATGCTTTCTTGAAGAGCAGACCCCACTTTTGAATTGGACAATCCCTGACGACCTGCTTTGATCAGCGCTAGCTGCTTATACCCTCCCAGCCGATCCACCCGCTCATCCAGCTCAGCACACGTGACGTAAGCATCAAGACCGCCCGTGTTTTGTTCAGTGGGCGCCGACCCAAGAAACGCTTCCTTCCAGACGATTGGGTTCTCCTCAGTCACCCGAAGAATCAGCTTGCAGGCGCACGTGGCCCGCAGCAAAGAGATGGGGTCCTGAGCCGCTAGCTTGCGAAGGACGATCAAAAGTAAGTCGCTGGGAAGATCTTCCATATTTGGCGCTGTCCCAGCTGCCTGGCAAAAGCCAACGCTTCGATTTGTTTAGCAGGCGGCCCGAGGCCAGGCTTTAAACCTGTTTGCTCTAGCGCGTCGCCAACTTAGGTAGGGTCGATCTAGTCTGGTGGGCGCTCGAGCGGCCGCGAGTGCAGTCGCGGTGGGAAAGTGGGGGCCGCGTCTAGCGCGCGCTACTACCCGGCGACCGGATAACCGCGGCGGCGCCATTTCAAGGCAGTGCCGACGCCGACGCGCGCGGCTGCGCGTTCGCGACGGCCCTTCCACGCTGCGCCAGAACGCGGCCACGCGCGGCGCTTGATGTCATGTCCTTTCGGTAGCGTGCCCGCGCGTTGACGACGTCGCGGCCAGCCGTCGGCCGGCCGGTCCGAGGCTCTGCGGTTGGTGCGGATTTTCAAGCGGCGCAAGGCCTTCTCACGCTTCCTTCCAGACGACAGGATTCTCTAGAATTGCACGTAGAAAAGCTTGCAGGGGCACGGAATCCGCAGAGAAAGATGGGGCCTGAGCCTCAGACCGCTTGCTTGGTCTTGAGGATTCTTGAAGCAACGCCACGAGTATAAATGGCAGACGGGTCTCATGCTTTTGTCATTTCCACGCTCGCGAAGGTGATTTGGTTCTGATGACGTTGTTAGTGGGTTCGACGATGATGGGCGCTCGAGATGCTATCCCGGCTGAAGGTGCGGCCGTGTTAGTTTGCGCGCTTTTTTTGACCTACGTTTCAATCTGGCCGCGTTTCAAATTGGTTGGAAAACGTCAAGGACATGCCTCTGAGTAAGCCGGATTACCTTTCAACCATTCCGCCCATGCTGGTTGAAAATTGCAATCGTCGAACATGGCTGCAGCCTCCATCGGCATTCCTGGAATCCTCCAGCAATCAGCTTCTTGTCGTGATTAATAAGCGCGTTTTCAATCAAGACTTAAAAGAATGCCTAGTGGGATGATTATTGGATAAACATACTGCCGCAAGTGTCCATTTCCAAAGTAGAATTCTGGAGAACGAAATAGTCGAATCAGAAGGTCTCGACAGAGAGTAATGGAAAAACCGTTTATCTACTACAGCAACTTCTGCAAGGCAGGACTTCCAGAGGACTATGCAACGACTACTCTGACGACTAATGCCGTCACTGCTGTAACGAACCCCGACCGCGACGTCCAAGCCTTGACACACAAACAAGATCTACGCACACTTATCCTCTTCAGACAATATCCTCTTCTCACTGCCCGCGGATGTTAGACAGCCCCTCCAGGTTGCTGACGCGGAGCTTCCTCCGTCTGTGTCGCAACTTCCGCCCGCCTCTGCCGCTTCTTCTTACACTCCTCGCACTCGCACAGGGGTAACGAGCAGTCCAGTACCAGAAACCAGCTGGCTATCGCCATCGCCAAGCACGGTAGCGCGCCATAAACCAAATCCTTCGCACTCCACGCGTTCAGTAACTTTGGACACATGGCGCGGATACGGGCCGGCAGCTCGTTGTCCGGTGAGCGGCCGCCGTACGGATCCGCCAGACGTCCGCAGCCGTCCGGAGCGAGAGCGTAGATTTGCAAGCGGTCGTTCTTGCAGGACTGAAGAGTCAGGCTGGTCCCGTTGGACCTAGACGCCAGGTACTGGTTCAAACCTGGGCAAGGAGTCATGCACAGGATGTCAGTTACGGCTCCTACTGTATTTAAAGTAGAGAATGAATCTGCCAATGTCCAAATCTGGGCTAGAGATGCATCTGCAGGGTTCAATACTTCTCAACCAGATGATCGGTTTTAAGCCCACCACTTTTGTTCAGACGCCGCGGGAGAAGCTGCTGCAACCTGAGGTGCGAACTCGTGCTGATTTCGACTCGCCTGATGAATTTATCGAAATTCTGACGTCCAGCAGATACATGAAGGTTTATTCACTTCAATCACCTTTAGCAGTACGGTGCTCCTTTAACCAAGGTAAGATCGAAAAAGGACGGAAAGACGTCATTCAGAACGTGACGACGCGTCTTTACTTTCAACAAACAACGAGCTCAGGAGTTAGAACCTCCCGCTTGTACTCTGGTATGCGAAAGTCTTGGCCAAGGCCGTGGCTAACAAAAGGAGGTCTCAGCAGAACCCTCTGCGAATTCACCGCGTTGATTTCAGAAAACAATGTGCCCATCAGGAAAGATCATACCTTTTGCGGGATCGGGTAGAGGCACCGGCCCCAGTCGCTCCACTCTGGTATCCGTGGTGAAGCACTTGACCCCTCCCGGCACCATGCGAGCAACCGAAATAATAAGGTAAACGAGCACCGGCAAGGTGACGACATAGGTCAAAATCAGAAGTCCTTGACAGAGTGGGTTGCGCTTTCTGGCCTTCTTCCCTTCTTTGGTCTTAAAGCAGACCACCGGGGGCGTTTGCTGGTCTGAATTCGATCCCGACCCGGACTGGCCGGTGGAAAGAGTCACCGGTTGAGGTCTGACGTCAGTTGCGGCTGTCGGAGAAGCTGCCACGTGTCCTTGCGTGCTGGCAGCCTCTGCTTGCAGCTCGCTAGTGTAGCTGAGACTGAAGGGGTTGAACTCGTTGGCCGGTTCCCAACTGAAAGTGTGCTCTGCTTTTGCACTGTCATTATGGTTCGACCAGCCAATCTCGGACTTCAATGACTCGATTCGGGCCCAATCATCAACCGCTTTATTGCCACTGGTGACGTCATTGTCCCTGATTGGCGCAAGTCTCGGTGGCTCTACGTCTGGGGCCTCCAGAGAGTCTTCGCTCTTATCGAAGTGGAAAGAGCAACAGCAGATCCAACTCAGCAGGAAAATCAGGAGGCCACCGACTAGCGCTAGGATTGTGAGAATAGGATTGTGAGAGCCCCGAACAAAGCGAAGAGCAACGCTCCCCAAACCATCCAGAAAAATACCAGGCCGTCGATGACAACGCCGAGGAAGATGGTTATGCCCAGAAGGATGCGGAGCACTTTGGGAGTGTGCTTGGGGTGGAGAACGTTCACAACAGGAGGCGGGATCTGACAAGTATTCGTGGGTGCCTCGATTCGATAGAAGTCGTACACCGGTTTTGTCAGCGATTGGCACTTGATCACTTGGAGCGGTCGGGGAGGTTTCCCGAGCACTGGATTGGTCCAGTTCAACTGGTTGCTAAGCAGGAACTCATTCACCAGGGTCGGCTCCGGAAGCGACTGGTTGGCGGGGAGAGCTTGGGCGTTGGAAACATTGGGACAAATGAGAACTGCAGACAAGGAAAGGAAGTTTGGTTTCCTGATCATACATCCTCGAGCGGCAGACTGACCAAACATGACTAGTGAAGCAACGATAAGTGCAAATATCATGCAATTACCCCGTTATTGAACATGAGCCTAGGTTTTAAGATCCTGAGACGGCTGCAAGTCACCTTTAGTATGTTGTGAACGTTTGTTTCGCTGAAAACCTGGTCCCGAACAAATATCAGGGTCGACCAAAAACTTGCAGTTGCGCAAACGTCTGGAATCTTTTGACTGTCCATGATGAGTCCTTGAAAAGCTTGGTGGCAGTGCCCCTACCCTGATCCGTATAACGGATCTGACCATGATCAGGTAGCTTACATGCAACACAAAGTGAGACAGAAAAGAGTGAATCTCTGATGAAGATTGATGTTATCACGTCAAAGGGCAAAAGTTAAAGTTGACCTCAAAGTGATATTCACATGCATATGCTTTTCAAAGAATGAACGTCGCCATAACCGAACCTGTCCAACAGCAGGTCATTAGAGCGAGGCTCCAGTACCGCGCCAGCGGAACCCTTCCTTTTCCCCCTTGCATGCCGGACGCCATCCTTCCTCTTACCAAAATCTGCCTCTTTAACCGGTGGTGAAAGCGGCAAGAAATACACTCCGAGGACTAAAGGACTGCTTTTGTTCAAGAGTTGGAAGTAAAAGGATGGCGGAGACGTCGTCGCGCGCGGGCCGCTCGGACCGGCGGCCAACGTACACCCGCGCGGCCGCGCTGCGGACGCGCCGCGCGGTTTTGCCAGGGGTTTGGTAACGGTTTGGGTCGGCCGGCACACGCGCCCCGGGCCTGTCGCCGGCCGCGCGCCGCGCGGTAGTACCCGGGCCTGCCAATGGCGGCCAGGCCGCGCGGCGCGCGCGAATGTTTGCGGCGGCGGCGCGCCCCGTCAGAATATACCCACCGCCAGCTGCTTTCGTACTTCTAAAGCTGGTCACACTACCTATGCACATATTAAATTGCGTACAGAATATTGTTTGCGTTCCGGCAAGCTGGTCACGTCAAGCTACATGTCAGAAAAGTCTGCCGGAATGACGTTGATCATTGCTTGAAAGCGATTGATTTTCATCAAGCAGGTACGACAGGGCACCCCAGACGTTAATCTATCTTGAGGATGTACGCTAGTGGAACGCTAGTCATTGTTGCCAATAGCAGAGCACTGTCGAGGCACAATTGGATAGCGGATCAGGACGTCGTTGAAAGAATACAAACTTACATTTATCTACTAACAAGTCCGTGTGGATTCATCCATTTTGATCCGTCTCGATTCGACGCGCACCAAAGCGGATGCGACGTTCCGCCCGCAACCGTCCGGAATATAAACCGCTTAAGCCTCATCCGTCTCTGGAGAAATGGCGGAACGGTACTACTAGACTACCGTGACTGTCTAAATCACCATCATATTTATCTCTTAATCGCCTCTCTATATGTTTAAAAAACATTTGACGTCGTGTCCGCTGGGATTGCCAGCCTCATAGAGTCGGTCCGACAGAGGCACCAAAGAAAGCAAAAGGATCGGAATGCATCCACTTCGACTGAAAGAGAGAGCCCTTCCAGATAATTGACAGTTGTGGTACCAATCATTTTGGCGCTCAAACAATTGAGTTGCGACGTCAGTCGAAGTACGCGATCGCAGTTTTCTAGCTATAGATGGCTCGTTTTCACATCTCAGATGAGCAATTGGCAATCTGACCCAGTCGCATCATAGTGATCATGCACGCCTCTCTTGTCCAAGTCTGCTTCACAACATTTTCAAGGACCCCGTCGACGGATGAAAGCGAAGTAGCATACCGGGTTTGAGAAAAAGGTGGATGCGCTTTTGCAAATTTCAGTGACGGCTCCGATGTGAAAAACTCATAATCTGAAAGTCTTTTTTGCACTCTACAGCGCGGACCAGGTTTTCAAATTCTTACGCAGCCCGCCCTTAAAGACGCCTGCCAAGCTGGCTGATTGCCAAGATTCTCATGAGACTCCCTGACCACGCCCCGTTCTCTGTCATGAATTGTGACAAAAACCTAGAACTACGGTCAGGAAGTATGCAAAATAACTGGCCTTGTCTCCTCAAAGTGAAAAGCCCACAGAAAAGAAACGTCCAGAAAGTTCAAATGCTAAATCTTCAGTATCTTGTCCTACGAATATTTTGCACGACCAGGTCTTCGGTTTCTTCGGATTACTGTGAGATTCTTGGAAATCGTATATCTCCAGGGAAACTGGCCCCTGCACAAGGTAATTGCTGCCAGCAAATCTGGTCTGCCCCTCCAACGCTTCAAGTTCGCCGGGACTCGTGAGAGCTGTAGGAGAGAGCGGCTCTAGGGTAACCAGAGCCGAGGTAACCAGATAAAATTTAACGTCTCCAGGAGGAGTAGCACTGAAACTCACAGACTTGAGGGTCAGATCGTCGAGATCCGCATTCGCTGATGGCGTATGCTTGAGCAAGCCCCCGAAGATGAGCCTCTTTTGCTCGAACCATCAAGTCAAGGTAATTGATGGGAATATCTCTACGTCCTACAAAAGAGAATGATATCGATGCACACGATGGATGCACCCCCTGGGTTTGTTCAGAATCCAAAATATTTGTCTTCTCCCACCAAGCTTTCACCAGCCGCTTGTACCCCCCTATCATCTCAATCTCGTATTCCAGGATCTCGTCTCTGCAGTGCTCTCCAAGATCTGAGTCTCCGCCCAAGAATGCATCCTTCCAAATCTTAGGAGTTCGTTCCACCTCTCGGTGAAAGGCTTTGCAAACACACCTGGCCCGGAGCAATGACGTAGGGTCCTGCACTGCTAGCTTCCACAGAACGACCCGCACTATTTCGCCAGGTAGGGTCTCCATAGCGCGCTTTGCTTCTGCTCGAAACTCTGCTGACTTCGCACTCCATGAGACGTTGCAGATCTGCGCGGCCTTCGAAGCGCGGCCGCGGCCGCGACCGGACTTGGGGTTTTGTGGATGTTACGCAGTGGAGGTAAGATGTGCCTAGGCAAAACGAGGGCGCTCCGGCCGCGGTTCGAAGTAAACGCCCATGGAACCGCGCGCGCGTTCACGGCCCGTTCGCTTTTTCGGTTCCGCTTTCGTTGCCGCGCCGCTTCGGACCTGCTGGCGAAAGCGTTCTGCCTGTGCAGCCCGTCTAAAATATTACTGTCATGATTGATTGCCAGGGATTGTTATCAGATTATTGAGAGGGAGTGAATGAGAAGCCTCGAAAATTAAAGACCGATCTTCTAGCTCATCTGGCAGGCGGCCTGCCCTAACGCCAGAGGTACCGATTGACGACAGCTGTGAAGAGAGTGTGCGGCGGGTCATACAATACACACACAAAATATCACATGCTCTCTCTTTCCCTGGTCACGTCGAAATCGATATCATGCACCGCGCTCAGATTCAATTCAGAAGGGCCCACTGCACTGGCACGGGCAACCGACAAGGATATCCATACTGGCAAGTCACTATTCATGGGTTGCAGAATTCGCTCCTAGAGTACGCGCCTTCCCTGGATCTTTTGGACATCGATCATTGCGAATCAAAGAGTTATTCGCGAGATACGGAATCGGACTCTCCAATCAGGGCGAATTGGAAGATGTACGCATGTTTCAAGTTGCCGTTTAAAAAGTAGTATGAACGCAGAAACGGATAGCTCTGGCACTTATCCTAAGAGTACAGATGCTTCCATTCATGCGCGCGAGAGCATTGATTGTAGCAATGTCATGGCTGAAGCCGTTGGGCCGCTTCTGTTCGACCCGAATGTGTTCGGAGCGCAGCCCTTCGAACCAACCGCATGCAATCATGCATTAAGCTAATAGAAGGTTGAGAGCTGAGAGCAAATGAGAAGCTTCGCATTGCCTAATCGTCTTGGTTACACATAAACGCGCAATATCCTTGGGCCACTGTCTGCCCCATTGCACCATGCCAACGAAGGCGCTGCCTCGATCTTTTGATTAGTATACTTACAAGAAACTAAGAGTGGGCCGCAAGTCTCATGGGATATCATGACCCCAGAGTACGTCAAATCAAGAGGACAGCCGTTCTCTTAAGGCTTCCAAATCTCGATCACGTCTTGCGACATAATGTCAAAGCACATTTGACGACTTTCTTATGCATAGCCAGCGCCAGACCTCTTGAAGATGAGTGGAAATGCAATTCCAGTGGCACTCTAAAGCATCCTGCCTGGTTAAGTTTGGGAATCAGAACTCCTCTTAAACCCGTTGTCGGATTTAAAAGGCAAGATAGAAAGCTGAAGACCTCTGTGCTTTTTGTTCGCAATCTGTTACAATCTTTTGAGGCTCCGCCTTCCTTAACAACTCCAAGTCTTACCACTTGATCTCCGAGTTACAGAAGAATCCTCCCAACGTATGGGCAACGTATGCCCTCACGTTTTGTCTCCTCAAAGCGCAGGACCCACGGAAAGGAAACGTCCAGAAAGGTCCACTGACCAGACTTTTTTACCGTGTCCTACATATGTGTGACATAACCAGCTTTCAGGATTCTTTGGATTACTTTGAGGTTCCTGGAAATCGTATCTTTCCAGGGAGACTGGCCCTTGCAGTATACAGTTGCTACCGACCATCCTGCTTTGTCCTTCCCACACCTCTTCGGTACTCGTGCAAGTATTTGAACAAAGCGGCTCGATCCGCGAAGTACTCAGATAAAGTCGAACGTCGCCCCGAGTAGAAGCTCTGAGACTCACAGCAGTGAGTGTCAAATCGCCGAGATTAACGTCCCCCGATGGCGTGAACTTTAAGAAGCCCCACAAGATGAGCCTCTTCTGGTCTCTCACCAGGACAAGGTATTTGACGTTAATTTCTCTACTTCCATCAAAACTGGAAGTCTTGGAACTACACGGTGAAAGCAACTCCCGGCTTCGTTCAAAACCCGAGGACTCTGTCACCTCCCACCGAGCTTTCACTAGCCGCTTGTACCCCCCTACCAACAAAATCTCAGCTTCCAGGCTCTCGTCTTTGCAGTGCTCTCCAATATCTGAATCTCCGCCGAAGAATCCATCCTTCCAAAATTTAGAGTCTCCTTCCACCTCCCGGTAAATGGCTTTGCAGGCACACGTGGCCCGCAGCAATGATGGAGGGTCCTGCGCCGCCAGCTTCGACAGAACGACCCGCACTAGTTCGCCTGGCAGAATCTCCATTGTCGCGCTTTGCTTCTGCTCGAAACTCTGTTCACTTTTGCAGGGCGCCATTGAGATGTTGCTGATCTGCGCGTCCTTCGAAGCGCGTCCGCGGCCGCGACGCGACGTGGGGTTTTATCGGTGTCATGCGGCCGCTTTTGCCACGCCTGGACAAAACGTTGGGCGGCCGCCTGGCCCAGGAGGGCGCTTCAGCGGCCGCGGGTCAAAATCAAACGCGGTATCGCCCAAGGAACCGTGCTCACGGCCCCGTTCGCTAGTTAGGACCTGCGGGCTAAAGCGTTCTGCCTGCGCCCATCTTTGATATGATCGCCCATGAGCAAACGCAACGGAGTTTTGCAGATTTTTGGAGAGAGGGTGAATGATCAAAGGCCTTGGTTAATCATGAGTCTGATCTTCCTATTGACCAGGCGGCCTGCCCTATGCCATGCAGAGGTAGCGATTGACGACAAGTGTCAAGTGGGTGGTAAAGCTGCCGGGCTGATCATGAAAACGAAGTCTGGAACATGGTGCGACTTCCAGAAGAGGGACGAAGAGATTTATTAGCATCTAGATTCCTTAATTCAGATTTACAGTACGATCGTCTTTTCTTGGAGTCTTAATTAGTCTCTTGCTTGCATAAAGAAGCAGAAGTAATCGGGTGTCGGAACACATGCAACTTCTGCTTTGCATGATGAATCGTGTTTACAGCCTGAACCATCTTTTTCGGATGAGTTATGCACGCTTTTCATGGACGGGTATTTTATCCTGACTCCTTTTTTGACGCGCGTAGGAAGAATGCATAATATCATAGTTGATACAAAATACCAAAACGTTTTCTCAGGTCTTCCTGTTCTATCAGGAATCGAGGCTCGAGTCGCGCGCAAAACTTTTCCACTTGCAACATGACCTTGTTCAAATATGTATAACCGCCGTGACAAACGGGTCTTCCATGTCACTTTTAAGGCGAGACTGTCCTGTCCCACTGCTTATCCAATTAGGCGCCGGCGTTGTCCTTGACTGCGCACACGTGGAGACCAGAGCTGCCAAATATTGAGGTTTGTATTGTTTTTCAGAACGTTCGCTCACATCAAAGAACTACGGAAATTAAACGTCCATCGAACGTAAATGCCGGAACGTCTGCATCGTCTCGCCCACGATATATTTCACACAACCAGGTCTTTGCGTCTCTCAAGCTTGGGTTACTTTGCGGCTGGCGAAAGTGGTACAGGTCCACGAATAAAGGACCCTGCATTACCTGGTCGCTTCCAACCCTGAGGCTCTTCTGTCCTTTCGAACCCTTCCCGCAAGTCGGGCGTGCTTGGAAAAAGAGAGACTCTAACCCCGAAGTAGACAAAGAAAGTTCGAGATCAACAGAAGATGGTTTTCTCAGTCTACTAGAATAAGGGCTATGTACTATGGATCTGAAGGTGAAATCCCCGAGCGTCTTCTGCCTTGACGGCGTGCGGATCAGCAACCCCCATATATAACAGGATCCTGCTTTGCTCTCTCATCAAGACAAGGAACTTGTAGTGAGTACTCCTGGTCAAATCGAGATATGAGAACTTGGGTTCACTTGGTGCGACCCATCCTAGGCCTTGTGTTTGTTCAGGTTTCAAACAAAGGCTATTCTCCCACCGAGCTTTGACCAGCCGCTTGTACCCACCCAACAACATGATCTCAGCTTCCGGTTTCTCGTCTGCAAGCCCCGAGTTTCCGCCGCAAAAGGCTTCCTTCCAGATCTCAGGACTTCCCTTTACCTCCAGGTGAAAACCTTTCCACGCACACGTGGCCCGCAACAAGGAGGGAAGATCCTGCGCCGCAAGCTTATACAGGATGACCCTTACCAGTTCGCTTGGTAGATCCTCCATGACGAGCTATACTCCCGCTTTATCCACATCCACAAAGTGCTTGAGCCATTTGAGTCTTCTGCTGCGCCCTTCGCTCGTCCTTTGGTTACGCAGCCAGGCGCGCGGCGCCTTCCAAAGCGACATTCGCACTTGGGCGGCAAAAGGCTCAGGGTGCGCGCGCGCCGCCGCGCGACGAGTGGGAGGCGAGGCTTTGGCGGCCGCGTCTAAACCGGCCGCGGCCGCGCCAGAGAACCCGCGGCCGCGCCCGTTGGGTCGACGAGCGGCCAGTCGCGCCGGTTTGACCCACGGCCGCGCTGAGTATCGACCATCAGATGATGTTTACTAGTCTTTGTACTGTTCTCCCATGACGTTCTGAGCGCAGGCATGGAGCGCCTTCCGAACGAGCTGATCTTGGTCACCCTCCGCAAGCTGGCTGCTCTGGACCCCCTCTCGTTGTTGCGAAGCACGTGTGATTTGGCGCCCTTCTACCGCGCCGCGGCAGAAAATCCAGACGTTTGGAAGGAAGCGTTTTGTGGCTCAGCGACGGCTGTGCAAGACAGTTGTCAGTCTGAGATTCACAAGTCAGAGGAAGGTGTAAAATTGGATGCAAAGGTGGAAGCTCTGGGTGGGTACAAACGACTGTTGATAGCCCGATGCTGTGCGGCAAAGCAAATCAACCGTGCTGAACAAAGCCAAGGGGTGGCACGCTCTACACGAGAGGATGGATTTTGCGCTGCATGCTGCTTTCGGGCGCGTCTTTTCTCTGGGGGGATCATCCTGATCCTCGTTCGCTTAGGGCGGAGCATTTGGATGTGGGGCATCTACCCGGAACACACAGTAGCAGACAACGCTGCATATACGACCTCAGCGTCTTACAGATTTGCGGACGTTTCGCTCCAGCCGGTGTACCCGGCAGCTGGATATTTGAGTTCCCAAGCAATACTGAAAGAATTAAGCCAGACTCGTAACGCTTCTGTTGCTGGCAAATCCATCGGAGTCAGCGTCGAGAATGATCCGCCGGGGCCCCTGTCTGTAGAACTCTACACACTTCCACCCTGTGAGACAAGATCACCTGCTTTGACAGAACTTGCCTGCTGTGAAATTCTCCGTCCGAAGAGACCTTGGGCGGTCGGCGGATCCATTACATGGTATCGTTTGCGGGGCGTTCTGTGTTCGCATTTGGAACCGCATAAGGAGAACTTAACTTGTGACGTGCATTCCTATCTGAGATATTCGGGGGAAAGAGTCAGCCCAACTGGAGACTCGGTTGGGAATGGTCCATCTAAATTCGAATCGCTATCCAAGTAAGCAAGGCGTCAAGGCGTCATGCTCTACAGCACTGTTTACAAGGCAGGGGTAGCATTGAAAGAAACGTCGACTGCCCAGATCTGTAAAAGACAAAGCAGCTTCGTTGAACTCTCCGACTTTTACTTTACCGTTCTCTGAAATTTGTCGGCTCAACGCCCATCCCGTTCCTAGTATGCCGACTATGCAAGAAACAACAATTGCGTTCTGTCCTGAACCTCTTCCGCAAGACCCGAATTCTTCAATTGCAATCCGGAACAATTGGGCTGAAATCCAGTACAGCTATGTGCAACTTGCTTAGCTAATTTCACCCTTTCGTAGCAAATGCGAGATCTTTAGGACGCCTGCGAAAAGAGTATGGCAACGGGCGCTGCCTGATTGAACGGTCTGCATTATGATAGCGACGTTGTTTGAACTGGTTCCAAATTCGTCTTTACTCTCTCTTGCAGACTGTCGTATTTCGTTTCACAAGACCACCATGACGTAAGAAAGACTCGGCAATGCATAATATGCGCATCATGTTCGGAAATTTTCCGTTGCTAAGGTACGAGTTTGAAATTGCGGGCCTAAATATATCGGCCATGCAGCCAAGCACTCGGAGCCAGCACGTCCGACGTGATCTGCCTGGCCAGCAATTTGCATCATATGCGCACAATACTTTCCGCGACTTCGATATTTAGAAGCCCGACCATACAATTTACCCGTGGCTTGGAAGGGGTGATTTGTAAGTATAGCAGAAAGGGCGGTGTTGCAGTCTCAAATTAGCCTCTTCAGAGCTACTAATGAGGATTCTTGTCCTGGTAGACCTTGTGAAGCTTTTCCTGAGAAACATTTCCCAACGCCTCGGAGATCTAGACGGCGCACTCAGTTTATAGGCCCAGCTTCTATGAGTTGACTCTTGGCTGCGACCTTGCCTGCACGAAGCTGTAGCGTTCAAAAAAGAAAACGATTCCGCTCGACGCGTCCGCTTCCAATGACATCTGAGAAGACCGAACGCCCTTGTCTCTAAAGGACTTGCCCAAGCGGAGATGTGATCAGAAGTAAGTCGGCAAAGTAGAATCTGGTCCCCAACGGCCCGCGAAATCGCCCAGCTGACGCCGGTGGCAGGGCAGCATCTGCTCTCGGGTTAAGACTAGGCGCCACAGAAGCAATCTCCCTCCGTCTCGCAGAATGACCAGCCTTTCTAGTACTGCTTTCAAAGTTGACGAGAGCACCTTATTTGGCGAGCGCTTCGCGTTCTTCAGATTGAGTCAGGTTTCCAACGATTACAATCTTCACACCGCGCCTCGACCAGTCGCTTATATCCACCACAGGAGCTGAAGTGCGCTTTAACGCGCTCTCGTCGTTGCTGGGCTCAGGCTATCCCCGCTGTTCCAAAGGACGCTTCCTTTGAGACGCCGGGTCTTTTTTCGCCCTTCTGAATAAATTGAATGGCAGGCACAAATTGCTTGCATAGAGAGGGACGAAGAGTCTTGCGGCGCTAGCTTGCGCAGGACCATCAGATTCACGTCGCCAGAAAGAGCTTCCATGTCCGCCCTTCCTGCCCTCTTTCACTTCTGCGTGCTTGTAAGCGCGCCGTGGCCCGCCGCGCGTGCGCCGTGGTCGATCGCGCGGCCGGGTGGCGCAGGGCCGCAACGCGTTAGGCGGCCGCGGACCACCACGAGCGCGGACCCGGCCGCGCACGTGACTTGCGGCCGCTGGTGCGGACACTTCGCATCATAAACCCCGACCGGGGCAGCAAGCACGCCCGGCGGTTGGACACGCGGCCGCCGAGCCGCCGCGTTGCGGACCCGCGGCCGCACTGAGACTCGGCCTTCAGCCCAGTGGGTGGAGTTTATCTGGCAGTCGTTCAAACGCAGGCATGGAGCGCCTTCCGCAAGACATAATCCTGATCATCCTTCGCAAGCTGGCTGCTCTGGATCCCCTGTTCTTGCTGCGGAGCACGTGCGCTTTGGCGCCCCTGCACCGCGCGGCGGCGGAGAATACAGGAATCTGGAAGGAAGCCTTCTTTCGCAATGTCTCAGAGGATATGCAAGGCGACTCGGAATCCGAAACTTATCACCCAGAACAGGTCGCCAAGCTTGATGCAGCGGTAGAAGCTCTGGGTGGTTACAAACGACTGTTGGCGGCTCGATGTTGTGCGGCACGGAAAAAAAAGCTAGTTGAACAAAGCCAGGGGGTGGAAGCCGCTGTGCTGGAGTCTAGATGCGCTGTTTGCTGCTTTCGGTCACGGCTCATGTCCGGGGGGGTGGTCATAACGTTTGTTCGCTTGCGGGGGAGCCTTTGGCTGTGGGGCATCTACCCCCAGAACAAAGTTGCGGACAGTGTTGCGAACTCGATTTTCCCCAACACAACCTTCTTGGGCGTTTCGCTTCAGCCGGTGCACTCTGTAGATTTCCAGGCGATTGCAAGGGGGATTGCTCGGACCCGGCCCGGCCACGTCGGAGGTTTTGTTTGTGACAGAAACGGCCGGCGGGACCTCTACCTAAGGAATGCGGGCCGTCCGTCCGATCTGTGGACGGCCATCAGATGCTCGAGAAGCCTTAAGGCACCAGACTGCCGGGCAAAGCCCTAAACCCTGTGCGAATCGCGCGCGACCGCGGCGGCCAAACCCTCCCCTCAGGGTTTGGCCTCTTCGAAATCGAAACTTGCTGACTAGGCGGCAGCCTCAGCAAGATTGTGAACAAAACCTCAGTTGCAGTCGAATCTTCTTCACTTCACTGTGAGTTGAGGCGGCAGCAGCAGCGCGTCTCGGCGCTGCTAAGAGGGCGCCATTTTTCTTTCTTCCCACCCACCTCCCTCATCACCAAGCAAAGAATGAAACAAGACTCACCTCCGGTCATAGCCCTGAAAAGGAGGAGTGGAAACCTCCAGCGCCAGAGAGGGCACATCACTAGAAGAGCCCACTGCCTGGTATCTCGCTTTCTTCCATGGCTGAAAAGCGCTCTTAGCGTGCGCCATCCTTATCAACTAAACAATTGCAATTGTGACAGTACCAACGCTTTGTTCAGGCGCTAGTCAGTGACTCACCACTATTTCACGAACCATCTCTCGACCATACAGATTGGTTTTATTTTGATCAACGGCAGGCATGAGTCGTCCGCAAAAATCATCCTGTCCCTTGAATCAAGAAAGTATCAACGGCTTTCAAAGAAACGTCCAGCGGTGACGTCACGGTTCGCTCACCGAAGGTGTTCATCTGCTTATACGCAACCTCTGCGTATAAGCGCCCCTATGCCGCAACCCGAGAAGTGCGGCATCAGAAGAGCGAACCCTGACCGTCCTTGCCCCAAACCGTCCATCCATCTGACGTTGGACGTTTCACTAGAATAAAGAAAGGAATGCTAAAGTTCATTCCCTTGGGAATAGTCACTGGCACAAACGGCGTCGTCGGGCTTTGGCCTTTGGGCCGGCCGTGCGGCGCGGCCGCGGTTCCGCGATGAAAGCATCCGCGGCCGCGTCAACAAGGAACACTGCGCGGTGTGATTTGAAAGTAAACGCGGCCACGCGCCGCGCGGCGCGCCTGCGCTGCCCATATGATAAAGTCGCAAGCGACCGCCGCGGCCGCGACAATGCCGCCAGACGAATGCCATCGGCTTACGCAGCGCGTCGAGCGCAGCTCTCGGTAAACACTTTTGCTGTAGTACCAGGCACTGGCGCGCTAGCTCCTCTGGTTTTGTTCTCATCAGCCTGATGGAGGCCGGCCTCCCAAGCGACGCAGTCTTGGCCATCCTTAAGAAGCTAGCGGTGCAGGACCCTCTGTCTTTGCTGCGAGCTACCTTCGCCTGCAAGTGTATCTTGGAAATGGCGGAGAAGAACCCTGCCGTCTGGAGGGAAGAATTTCTGGCGCTCTATCGCAGAGAGATGGGCGCGATCCGGAGTGACGATGTGGCAAAGCTTGACGCGGGGATCGCAGAGCAAGGTGGGTACAAAAAGTTAGCGTTAGTGAGAGCCAGTCATGAAGAAGCGGGCAAACCAGGAGGGTTTGGAACAAACCCGAAACACAAAACGTTTTGGTTTTGAACAACTCAAGAAGCGCCTCTTGCTCCCGGGTAAGAAATTGTTCTCAAGAGGCGGAGCGCCAAAGCCCACCAGACATGTTAAGATTCATGTGGCCCGATACGTGTACCTTTTCAGGCTTCGAGGGAGGCTGTTTCATAAAACTGAAATTGTTCCCGAGGAACATTCGTGCCATGAAGGGGACCCTGATGATTTATCAACCGAGGTTACTCATGTGGCTCTAGACATGGCCTTTACCGAGTTTGGCCAGAAGCTTCTAGGAGCAACTTACAGTGAGATGTTCAAAGAGTGGGAGAAGACAGTACCAGGGGCTGATGGCACCCGCTTAGTCAAGGACAGACTTTCTATAGAACTCTACGCTTACGTGACTATTCAAGGGGACGTCTCGGCCGCGACGTGCACGCCAATATATAGGATCTACACCCTAACCTTCAAGGACTCCAAAGGAACCGAGTATCAGTTTCCAGATTGCAAAGTTCCCGTGTATTGTGTTCCTGAAGGAAAGCAGGGTTTCAGCCCCATAGTTGGTCAAGTAGAAGACGTCTCGTCTGCGGAAGCAGGACAAAGACTTATTTAATCTATGTCGATCCTAGATGTAACGGATTAAGAATACTCGCCCGTGGAAAGACGAGCGCATCAGCCTAGTTCTTGTTTGTTCCAACTGAGGTTGCCTGTTCCACATGACGCAGATCTCGCTTTCGTTCCATTTTAAGCGAGTACGTGTTTATCTGTCTCCAAATCATGTCACGCCGTGAGCTATTTATTGCGTTTCCCGGCGTACCGTACTCAGACTGCAGTGGTACGCGGAGTCGGCCGAATTAAAGTCCGTCGTCTCATCAAGCAACAAGCAGACTACTTTAAAGCGTGCTGACCTATCTTGGGACGGGATTGCTGATGAGTTCAACCTGGCGGAATCCACGTCCTACCTGCGTGTATAAAAGAGCTACCAGACACGGTCTTCGGCGCATAGTGTTGGGAAATAATGGCTTCAGCGGAGGTATAAAATTGAGTCTTCGTGCCCAGTGCTAAATCAAGCCTGCCCTCCGGCCGCTCGGACTCAAGAGAGTGTAAGCAGCTCTTGCATTCAACTTTGACTACGTTCTACTTTACTAGACTCTTCTCTGAAACGACACCAAACCTCATTGACTAGCCGGGGCCGCCGTTGGACTCTGAATTTGTTTCTGGATATAGATACTATAATGTTATCTCACCGCCTCCGCGTGATTGCATGGTCAGCCAATCTAACCACTGCGCTTGCGCGGCAGCGCGTGCCCCGACTCAGCATGCCATGTGTACCGATAGCCCATGAGTCTCGTTTCGCAATCCACAATTATGCAATGCTTGATTCGTGGAAATCAGATGTTTCACCGTCAATGATGTACTATCAACTGAAATTAACCAATACTTCTTATAAACAAATCGATCAACAGCCCATTAATTATGTTGCCGTGCATGGGGCGCAGCTAGTGGAATCCTGAGCGATGAGTCAGCGCTAACAGTCGCCCGTCAGCCTGCATCTGGAGTGCAACTCGCGTATACTAGCTCGTGCATGCTCGATGAAGTAAAGAACGAGTGCATCAAACTTACGAAGCTAGATCAAGGACGGTCGTGACCATCATTCGCAGGTACAGTCTGACCATCCAGCAAATGGCGCGCAATGGCTAAGTGACTGTGTATGCCTCAATGCGCGCCTTCTTTTCTGCACTGCCGCACGCATGGCTGACTACTGAAGTACATTCAGCGCTACATGTCAAGTGACAGATGGTCCCTAGATGCGAGCAGCTTTTCCGGAACAAGGAAACGAACGACTTTGGTTCTCCCTCGGGAACATACGGTTGAGTACGTTGGTGACGGCCCAACTCGTGAACGCGCCGAACGCGCAGAGACTTAAAAATCTCTACAATTCAAATCGGCAGAGCTCCAAATCACTTACACGACTAATTCCATACTATAACCTGTTTTCACCTCTCATGTACGCAAAATACTTTTCAAGTTCTCTCAACTCTCTTAGGAATAATGAACCGCGGCGCAATGATTTCTCTTATTCGCGAGCAAATTGATGACGAACTTCGTTACTGAGTTTTCAAAAGACGTGCCAACGCGGATGCTCGCCTGTTACAGGCGCTTCGCTTGCAGCTTACGAATATATGTTTGCGTGCTTACCAGAGGTAATTTCAACCTTCCAGCAACTAATCCAACTTAGAAACAATCGATTCCAAAGTGTTCTCAGTAACCTAAACGCCCAGGGCCGCAAGCTTAGTACATCTGGTTGAGACAGCCGGCGTTCCTCGTGAAGGTCATCTGCAGCAAAAGCGGGCCATTCCGCGTGAGGATGGGAGAAGTATAGAAAGCAACTGCGGAGCGGCAACAAGAAACTCGTAGCCCTGACTTCGACACGGCACGCTCAGACACTGTCTTTGAAGCGGAGCCAATTGTCAGAGGACACATTTCAGCTGATGGCATGTTTGAGCAGATGCAATGAACGGAATCGAGATTTCCCAGTCGGAAGGAGTCTAAAAAAGCATACGCTTCCATCCTGTCGACAAAACAGTGACTTTGCATTACTGATGCCGTTCAATTCCTGCGATTGCGCCTTCTGAAAAGCACTTCGTAGGCTGTCGATCCAGTCCCCGAGCCGTCGTTACCAGCTCACTGCTGCGTTGCGATCGTTGCGTACGTTGTACCACCAAAATTCGGATACCATATTCCAACGCAGCTGGTCATATGCCATCCGGTGCCACGTGGCAAAATGAGAGCCATGGATTTCTGACAGTGTGTAAGAGCAAGAGAGACTGGCTGAACGTCGACCATACTCGAAATAAATCGCCGACGCGTCGTCTACGATCCACACGTCAGCCAAGTGGCAACGAATCCCCTCTCTGCACTTACATTATCTGAGTAAGAAGGAATCCTGAAAAGGGCATAAGTGCTCACCTGAACAATTGCGGAGCCGTCGTCGGCCATCCACTGCCACAGCGCGACGGATGCGCTCTGGAACGTCAGCTTGCCGTAGCCGAACAGCGAAGACGTCTTGGCGGACCAACTAGGTTGAGGGTCCACGAAGCTGGCCTCCGCGCCCTCCTCGTTACCGGCGTCGCCCACGACGAGCGTTACCGCTCCGCAGTTGTCGTTCTGAGCAGAAAAGGAAAAAGATCATTTTGATGGAACCAATCGTCGTTTTGGCGCCCTCTCGATCGCAAAGGAAGGTGGTCCAACCTCAAGACTGGGACGAAATGGTTTGAGCCGATCCCCCTGCGCTTCTGTGTTGAGAGCGTGAGAATGTGGAATGAACGCGCGCATTTTATATTGTCATGATAAGCTGCGCATGAGCCCGACTGATATTTAGCGTGTGCCTGACCAACGTTGTGCCGGTGATTTGGTGGATACGCGAGCAGTTTACTTCCAAAAGCAGCCCGGATTTTGAAGGCGCTCGGTACTCGCACTTGGTTTTTGCCGGTCCCAAGCTACCCCCACCTTCTTCTTGGGCGTCTAATCAAAGGGAGATACAATAACGGCGAAAGGAGAACCGGCACTCTGCCCAAAAGAGGCGCAGCCTAGCAACCAAAAGTGGCACCTTCGCCTTCGGAATCCTGACAAAACCAGAGAGGAAGACTTGGAAAAAGCACAGTCATGTGGGCGGATAGAACGGCACCACTCCTCATAAGCGCACGCAGCTTTGGTCCTGAACAAGTATCATTGCAGAACTGGGCAGCTTACATCGTAGCCCTTCGCCGGGTAGCTCCGCTCGTAATCGTGTTGGTGCCCAGTGATGAACTGCGGGTTGAAACGTTTGTTGTCAACGGAACGGCAGCAAGCAAAGCCTCTGTTCTGGAATAATCACCACAAGGCTGGGCCTTGTACCAAATGATTCACGAAGTAGAAAGACCAGAGCACGAAGCACCAAGTCGAGAATCTTCCGTGTTGCTGGACCGTTCAGACGGCAACGCATCGTTAAACCGCACTAGTCGTCCCACTCGAAACGCTCATCAACAAGAAGACAGGCATGCATAATACGGCAGCGTACAAGATCTCGCGAAACAAAACAGCCCACAAATGCTAATGAATGTTAATAAATGACCGACAACCAGGCTTGCGTCTGAATTTCAAGCGGTACAGCTGAGCTATCTAACGCGGAAACAACCTTGCTGAAAACTTACGAAGTGGACTCCGTACTGGTAGAAGAGGTCGTTCAGGTTGTTGAAGAAGTAGTACCCCTTGGCGCTGCCGTAGGGTGACGTCGGACTGCTCGGGAGGACCTGCCCGGGGAGAAGAACCGCGCCCTGGGCCTGAGTCACAGTTGTGACCGGTTGCAGCTGCGAGGCCTGCCCGGGGGTGGATGATAGCTGGGGCTCGTGGACTACTACAATCAGCCAACTGCGAAAATTGTCCACTTTTGGGTTTGCAAAATCGTTAGTGGAATATGCTGGGCCGTCCAGAGGAAGGTGAAAGAGGAGTCACAGTTGTGACCGGTTGCAGCTGCGAGGCCTGCCCGGGGGTGGATGATAGCTGGGGCTCGTGGACTACCACGATCAGCCACCTGCAAGAAACGTGTATCCTGTAATGGAGAACCTTTCGACGGGCGACAGTGCGAGTTGGAATAGGACCGGTGTCTAGAAAGGGGCAGAGAAGCACTCGGTAAATCATCGCTGAGTCGGGGAGTGGACTATGAGAGCCCACCACCCGCGAGCAGACGCGGAAAGCAACGGCAGAGTCGGTCAGCGGAGGGCACCAGACGCTTGGGAAGTGGCGCGCGCAGTAATTGGTGGCGCGCTGTTAAAAAGCACTGGCCAGCCGACCGATGTCGGAACGTAGTTAGCACACAAATGCAAGGGCAGGGGGAGTTGGACGGCGAAAAGTACCGAGGGTTGGAGAGGCGTCGCCTTCACGGGGGCCTTAATTAGCAGTCGGTACAGAGCACCGGGCGTCGAAATGACGGCGATGCAGCGAAGAAACACATGATAATTCACCGGGCAAATCACACAGGCCGCCCCGATCGAAAAGGGCACTTCAAGGTTTTCAGGTGGGGACTCTCGGATTGCTGCTGGTAAAAATAGCGGGGGTAAAAATGGAGACTTACCGATCCGGTCGAAAGCACCGGGCACTCACGCACCTGAATGCCTAATTTGCTAGTGCTGAAAACAAGAGAACCAACAGGTCGTCGGAAGAGATTACTGGGCACTCACGGGTTGGCGCCGTTCTCGCGGCGGCTGTTCTTGTAGTTGATCAACTCCTGCTGCAAGAAGTTATACTGGGCGGATCCAGGGGCGCTCTGCGCATACGAGGACGCGAAAAGGCACCGGGCGGGGCCGATCTTGACGGAGTAGTATAGCTTATCCCCGCCGGGGAGTTGGAAGCTGAAGTTCATGGAGGGGACGGGGACCACCGGGTGACGGGTCCTGCAACGGAACCGGAATAGTTTTGGCGGCAGCTTAGAATGTAATATTCTGAGGTTCATGCCGACCTTGCAACATCTTTCAGGCTTATCAATGGTCGACGCTTCTTTGAAATTCACAACGGCCGACGTGGTTACTCTAAGCCGTCGAAAATCTTCAAATGCATTGCTTTCGCACGCATCAAGCTTGGTAACGAACTCAAGAATTGGGCGTGCAAGATCGCGCCATGATCGTTGGATAAGACTTGAATGCCGCATGCCAATCGTCTGCTACTTCCGCTCCTTCGATCGTATTCGCGAACATAACTGGCTTATTCTTTCTGTCAGATCCAACTTACCCCCTCCTTCTTCGCCGGCTTTTGGAGGTTTCGACCTCCAAGTCGTCGACTTTCTTTCCCGACATCGGAAATGACAAGATAACGTCCTGAAAAGCATTCACAGATTTGTCAAATTCATCTTTGATGACGTAAACTTACCTCCAGCTGAGAGCACACTGCGGCACGTCGCCTCCGGCGGCCGCAGACGTCTCGCAGTTGAATGTCGGCACGTCTGCAACGCCAGAAAGCACGGCACGTCAAGTAAGTCATTCGTCGTCTAAACAAGGTCCAAACTTGCTTAAGTCCAAGGGCATCTTTGTCTAAGAGTGTAAGCCATAGAAAAGCAGAATTGTTCATTCTGCTGTATGGCTGCTCGCATTGGAACCAAGAGTGGTTTCAGGTGCGAAACGCGCCGAGTCTAGGTCATGGACTGATATGAAATGGCATGAAATTGCATTCGTGAAAAACTAGAGCGGGTCGGTTGTTCTACTCACAGTCGTCACCATAGTAGAACTCCGACTCCTCCTCATGATTGCCTGCAAAGGACCAATTTGCCAGGTTAGTCTCGCCCTGGAACTTGCCTCCGCAGACTGAAGGGACTCTTGAAACAATGGGTCAACTTCCTCTAAACTCACTTCAAACACTGTCTGACGAGCAAAGCATGATTTCGACCGATTCAAGCGCATGTGACAGGTTTCGACGCATCTTGGGTTCACATCCACCAGATGGTCCACAGAGAACACCTCGGTAAACCCTGAAGCATCCAGAGTCTGCCTGACTAGACGAAGATTAGGAACCAAAAAAGACACTTAAAAAGTTGGTAAGATTCGCTAAGTTCGCGAGTGGAAGCGGACGAGTCCCCAGAAAAGACGGCTGTTAACATGGTTTCGAAGAACCCAAACCCTTGAAACCAGAGACCTCAAACCTTGTGATCCCTAAAACCGCACGGTTTCGCATACTCCACCCAAAGCGGTCATGCACGTTATGGAGGCAAGTCAACCGGAGTCGATCGGAATTGGACGACTCCGGCAGAACGGACGGATCGAGCGGACGCAGACAATGAAAAAGGGACGGGTCCCCGACATCGGACGGGTTCGGACGCCTCACCCATGGCGGTCATGCACGGGTATTGACTTCTTGAAAGTCAGAGACTTCTAGCGAAATCAAACGGACGTGATTGGACCCGGTAGGACCAAAAACGGAAAAATAGAAATTGGATGGTTCCGGATGCCTCACCCATGGCGGTCATACACGGGATGGCGGAGCAGACCGGAGACATGAGCACCTCCCAAATGTCCCACCGGCGCGGCTGCCATCCGATGCGCTGAATGTCGTTGTAGTCTGCAAGAGACATAGGGCGTCTAAATCCCCTTATCAATTTCCAAAGCTCAGCCGGATCTCCAGTCCAAACACTGGACTGCAATCTGATCCGTAACGTGGGGGGCTTGTGGAGAAGGAAGAGCTGTCGGGCTGTCTCTTGAACAGCAGTTCTGATCCCACACGTCTCTGTTAAGGACATTATGGTACCGCCAGAAAAGCTAACTTCCAACGCTTTTTGTCAACGCTACTGAAGCGCTCGGCCACAACAATTTTTGGAGGACCTCCATCCAGCTTATAAGCAGTCAATCGAGTGCACGATTCGATGAGACGTCCTTCTGCTGAAGACGGTCCTGCTCATTCCCGCTGACTCTACTAGATTGAAGCCGACGGTCTCCGTTACAGCGCCAACGATCGCGAACCCTGGTGTTTCTTAAACACCAAGGTTTTCCTTAACCGCTAAATTTCCTCAATACCATACACGTATCTAGGAGCTCGTGCTACTGAACCCCGACTTCTGAACCCCAAACGTTCGAGCTCACCATCGGCATAGGCAAGGTCTCCAGCCACGACAATTGCTTGTGCGCCCAGTCCCTAAGACACAAAGGAGGGACGGTTTTCAATCCGCACAGAGCTAATCTGGTGCTAACAGTAAAGACAGCCCACCGGTCCTAGCGGAACACACTCCGCAAGTCCGCCTTTCCGTTGACTCGTTAAGTTTCAACCCCTTCCTCATAAGCAATGCCCTGTCCCATAGTGAAGCGCAGTCGCTAAGACCATCAGATCAGCGTCGACTAGATTAACCGGGAACGGTCCAACCTCTTGACACCATAAGCTCTGAAAAGTCAGATTGACCGGTAAGCTCTGAAGACTCAGATTGACCGGTAGATGGCAACCGCAGCTCGCCCTTATCCAGTAAGCCCGAGTTCAATAGTTGCATTGGATCTTGCAATCTGGTGAGGACTCAAGGCAGCAGGACGCGAGAGAAAACGGAAACAGGTTATGCTCACTTTCCAGAAATCGCAAAATCGTTTCAGGTCAACCAAAACCCCGGCGACTTGGCAAACCATTTGATTGCAAGAAAGTACGTTTACCGCGCTCAACACCGACTTTCGAGCTGACCGCCCTGCTGCCCGCACTCTTCATTAGTAAGCATGCAGGACATTGATCCACACATAAACTTTGTGACCAGCCGAAATTCTTTGATATGACCGGCAACCTCACCTGCAGTCCTTGGATGGTCTGCTCACTGTAGATGGTCTGGCCGACGTCAGCCGTGACGCCCATAACGAACGGGAAGCCCTGCGACGGGAGCGTCACGCTCCGGACGTTCGAAATAGCGCCGCGGCTGGCATCGCCCACCTGCGGACGGCAGAGGTGAAAGGAACGTGTTTACTTCCAGCGGCTTTACATTCTGAATCTGTTGAAAGCTGATTTAGTGAAAGCGCAACGTTTGGATGCTCTTCGCATCTGCTCCGGCTCAGGCCTAGTAACAGAGAGCTCATGCGAGAGTCGGCTGAGCCGCGCTTTTCCTTCGATCTACAGACCTGGCGGCCGAGCTCGCGAAGGAGAAAGGAGCGCGCGCGTTCGGACATTCGAACTGCATGTTATGACTGTGGAGAAGACAGTTTTCAGCGGACCTGGATGTGGGTTGACGCCCTTACAACGAGCACAGACCACACGGTCTTGTGAAACGCGGATGGCTCTGTTGAGCGTAGAGTCGAGCTTTTGCGCCGCTCTTTAACCCAAAGCCTAGGCACTTTCATCATTCAAGACTCCGACTCGAGACCCCTGTCTTTCCTTCTCGACCCACTTCCTTGGAGCTCCTGACAGAGTGACGTGGTTTCTGGGTTCGTATAATACCACAAACTCTCTCAAATTTGGCTACGTGGGCTGTTTCACAGCGCCCAGTTGGTCTCACGAGTAGGGGCCTTCAAGAGAATGCCTCACCTTGTAGTAAACAGTGGTACCCGGTGCGAAACCCCGGACCGTAACTGCGTGAAGCAGTGGGGAACGGTAGGTTGACCCAGGGTTGCTTCCGGGTTGCTGGCCGGCCTGGTTAGCCAGACCACCGAGCTGCACACAAAGCCGACAGTTGGCTGTTAACCCAGCGCTAAGTTACCTCGAGTTTAATATTCTCATACCTTAAAATTGCGGCCCTTCAATAACCCGGCATGCCTGGACACATCGCAGCAACTCTACCTCATGCCGCGATACGACTCTAGATCGGCGACCAGAAGATGCCAATGCCTGAACTCTCCCCGAACTTCCAAACACGCAAATTGCCTTTTTAAGTTCTCTCTTGAGCTTCTTCCAGCTTTGGTTCTAGACTTCAGCGCTCTTACCTGCTGATAAACCTTGGCGGTGCCGGCGACAGACGTGCTAAACGTCCGAAGACTGCTGTCCGAACTGCTGTAGTACACGAACGATCCCGGCCCGGTTGCGGGGTCCGCAGCGGTGGCAAGGGGGTCGCTAACAAGCCCACACGTGGCGAAGGGATAAGCGGTTGGATCTGCAGCAGCACGGTTGATGTCATCAGCTGGTGCGACAACGTCGTCGAACAGGGGGCGTAATGATGATGATGATGCAACAAGCAGTCTATAGAGGGAAATGGCTAACCAGGGGCGAACGTCTCATTTTGATGGATATCCAGCGATGCGGATATTTCAGCAGCCTCTGCGCACTTTCACTCATACTGCTCAAAAATCTCAAAGGAATGTCAGGGGGTTGAACAAGCGGAGAAATGACCGAGCTCCCGGGCTGCCAGTATTGTTCTCCTTGTGATTGCGCAGAATTCGTCCGTTGCCCAGCCCTCGCCCTCCCTTCATACTACATATTCCAAGTTTTAGCTTGCGCCACAAACGTTGAAGTGTTGACGAGACTTTTGCAGACAGAATGAAGGCAGTTCGGTGCGCAACCTGCTGCCATGTGGCGCCTGCTTATACGGCACCTGGCACTGGTGTTAATGTTCAACTGGCAGTGTTGTAGAGCAAAGGAAATCGTTTCACTTACTAGCCATCTGCATCTTGTAGGGAATGGTCTGGCAAACATGCAGTGGGTCAACGGCGGAGGGGGCTGCCACATAGGACCCAGTCGCCCAAAGGAAGGTAATGGAGGTTGAGGACGAGTCTGCAAACAGGAACAGGATAGAAAACTTTCATTCAGATCAAGGGTGCACCGCTAAGCTGACAAACGTACCGGACTTGAGTGCAACCAAGGTCTGATTGGGGAGCAGTGTTAGGGGCCGAGCCTGCAGACAGGGTTGGATTGAAAGTTCTGTTTTAGATCGTTCTGTTTCGTATCAAGCCTTCAGGCAAGCACATAGGAGGTCAGCTATTGGCTAATGGACACTGATGGACAGCAGAGTCGTCCTGAGAAGCTTCAGCCACATAATGTAAGACGCTAGAAGAAGGAACTGTGCATGTCAGAGATCGACATAAGATGTTGCTGAAAGCCATGAATTGTCTGGGTAAGAAACTTTCGACAAATGAACATGGCTTCTGAAAGCAACGCTTTGCCAGGTCAAAGTCTGCAGAGCCAAGCAAGCACAATAGCGGAGGAGTAAAGAAATTCAGCCTATCTGATTGATATGCATTAGCGCAAACCCTGTAGACTCAGCAGTATACTGCAGCCTGAAGAGCTTACGGGGCATAGCTGCATGTAAGGAAGCAGGAACAAATTAGGTGGACCATCACAACCTTTCCTAGCCTTACCTCCAATCTGAGTGTGAATCTGCCAGGGCGTATTGGGATTGAAGGGTGGTGCAACATTGGGATCCCCCTCAACAGCATACCCTGGGGGGTTCGTACTGCTTACCCCACTGCGACATAATGGGAGAGTGCGATCAGCGATTTTTCGGGTGCGAGTGATGTGACTGTATTCTGATCGTGTGGCTACCGAGCTGTACTAGGAAGTGAGTGGCATTTTTCAAGGAGTTTGAGGGGCCTCACGGGAAAATGTGATTGTAACATAGAAGAGAGCAGTTACCACCAGGCTCGAGAGTGGGCCTGGACACAGAGACAGAACGCTCCTGTATTCTAGTAAGAGACATCAAACGAATGTTCTCCTTGAGTACAGAACTTGTAGCTCTGTACATGTATGCATGACCTTATTCTCGAAGTGCATGGGCACATCAAAGGCAAATGGTCACCAGCGAATCAGAGCTGTGATGTATGTCCCTCTCATCAGTTGAGCCGACACTTGATTGCCGCCTCACCCACTCGATGCCGACGTCATGGCCGGCAGGGCACACCAACAATCACCAATCAATGGCCATCACTCCACCTCAATGCAGATTGACAAGGACACACCGACTCAGATTACGCATTGCTGAGCAAATCCAACGAAGTTCCGCAGTGCTCCTTGAAAAGGCAACATACTACAGACGTGGGGTGCAACTCACGCTGTCCTGCCCTGGGGGGTGCAGCACTGAGTGACATTGCAGCCTGCCGGGGCCCCCGGAACACTGCAACTAAACGCAGTGGGTGCCGGAGCGGGCGTCGGAGCAGGCGCCGATGTGGGGGTTTTCTTTGGAGTTGGGCTTGGGGGTGCAGAGGGGGTCTTAGCAAAGACCCCAGCAGGCCCCGATGTTGGGTTACTGGAGGGGGTCGGGGTTGGGGTCGGGGTTTGAAGTGGGAGTTAGTGTAGGGGCCGGTGGTGTTTGCTTGGACGGCGCCGGCGCCACATCTGCCAACTCTTTGTCTTTCAGGAGTCTGCTGCTCGCTGATACTGGCGCAACTAGGTGCGGAACACTCAGCAGCAGGAGCACAGCTGCGAGGCCCAGGAGCTGCTTGGTGGGGGCCATAGCTTATGACGTGCACGCGGCACTGATGACGGGCACTTTGATGGGAACTGACAGCTGTCAGCTCAGCCAGCGCAAAGAGCAGTGCAGGGTTCCTTGAAAGGCTGCTTTGGTTAGCTAACTCAGAGATCCTTGCTCCTCCGCTCACGTGCATCCACAGAATCTACTTTATCTAGCAACACTGACAGCGCAGATCAAAACAAAGAGCCCCTATTGATGACAAACGACAACTGCTGTACCAAAAGTTTGACGCAATTATAATGCTCGCATTCATCACTGTTCTCCTCCCGAACCGGCTCTGATCAATGTGAGTGCTTACCAAGATGGGCTCCGGAAGGTTACATCAATCAGAGAAACCCCAATGCAGCCAAAAAGACGCTCTGCTTCAACAGTGCCTACGTAGCGGCAGCCGCCCCTGCCTACAGCCAGGGGCAAGCTGGCTAGCACCACCTTGCTTCTCTACGTTCCAGTCTGTTTTGCTGATCACTTCATATTATACCCAGTCTGGCTGCGGTGTGCGCAAATCAGGATCAAATCCCGGGCCGCAAAAGCATCATTGAGCAACATGCAGACGGCACAGCTGCAGAATGCGAATATTCGAATGTCCGACGAGGTCGCAATTGACACGTGGAACTGCCTCGTGGCTCGGCAGTGATTTGGCAAGGGCACGTGGGTCTGCTAACTGCGCCCGGGACGAGCCTGACGTCATATAAGACGTCGCTCAAAAGTGGTACGATGACGTGATCATTCACCGACGACTGGAAAGGGCCGCCTGCTCAGAGCGTCGGCATTCGTGTTTACAAAAGGAGCGGTTGCATCGGATCTTCCGTTGAACGACCCCCTTATGGCAGTACCTATATTTGGGTTTCACACGGTTGAAGGGCCTACTGTGACCTGTCGCTAGCTTCCTGCGCTCGTTTCGCCAGCACGCCCATTCGGGAGCTACTAGATCAGAACATGGTAGCTAGTCGGCGCATAAAGCTGCTACAGATGAATGCGCCGCAAAGCGCCCTGAATCTATCTTGATTTATCATCCATAACCAATTTCAGATAGTGTCATAGTGTGACAGTGTGACTTTCAAGCCCACTAACGGCCCTCTAGTAACGGCAGTCGATCTGCTCTCGTTCTGGTGGACCAGCCGTATACTACACCGTACAGCTTGAGAGCACCGGGTGTCATCCAAGATGGAATCGCTAGGCGCCATGAGACACACCGTGACGAAGTTGCTTCAAGATTCAACGTAGGAGCATTCGAGTTTGCATCACTGAACTTTCCAACTGAGCAAGATATACTATTAGAATTCTTCTCCTTTTGATTGCTCAATCTGGAGGTAACCGTTCGTGCTATTGTACACTCAAAAGGATGGCGAAAAAGGAGAAGAAGAGAAAGGGCAAGAAAGGCAAGAAAGGCAAGAAGAATGCGGAACCCGTAGAGCCGAGTAGGGACGCGGGCTGGGAAAAGGTGAGGCTTCTCTTGGAAGCGCGCCGGAATTTGCAAGCGTTAATGAAGGAGGACACCTTCTGTGAGCGGACATGCTTGAAAAGCTGAGGTCGATTGAGTTTGTTGAATGCTGCTCGAGAGTAGGCCGTTCTTTTAGCCTGGAGTGCGAACTCAGGGCAGAGCCCTTCAGCACAATCAGAAAGAAACGTCTGTTCCGCTTCTGGGCAAATCTGGCGAAGTTTTGTCCGACATCTACGTATGACTTCACGAACTTGAGGATGAGTTGGTGAAAGGTATCTGCATGTGTTCTTTGATTTTGACCAGATTGAAAATGATGAAGCAAAGAACAGCCCAGCTACGTGTGTCTCGAAACCATAAACATGTATCCAGCCGCTCCTCTTAGCTCTTGCACAGCTGAGGCCGTTGAGCTCAACCATCCTATGGTCACCCCTGAGACGTCCTGAGTCCAGTCGCTTTCACAGCTGGTGCGGTATCAGCGCCTTGTGTTCGCCACAGCTTCGAAAGCAAAGAGCTAGATCGAGTGGCTCTGCCCTTACGGACTTGCAGGTTGCAAACAGCAAGACCCGTCTCGCAAGAGTTTAGTCCACACATCTGAAGTCGTTGTTGCTGCTTATGTTTTCTGGCGCGCAGGCAATTGCTACCGGTCGTTGGGAGCGGTCCGTTTCCGTCCTCCCCGACCCCGCGCTCTGGCCCACGTGGCAGGCCCTCAGGGAACAAGTCCTGGGGGCGTGCACAGAGGTAAAATTGGGAAAAACTGACTCGTCGCCGACCTCGGAGGCAAATCTCGGTCGGTGTAATGCATTTCGCTTACATCTTGAAGGCGTGTAGCTCCTTACCTTGCTGCGCTCCTTGCGGTAATCCAACTAGTGAGCAGTACTCCCGGCTGGATGGGTGCATTTACCGGTCAGCTAGGAGAAGTTGCCAGCTGGAAGTCCGTTTGATTTTGTGGGTCCCTTCCAAAGCCAAGCAAGGTAGCTTTCGTGTGACCGAGCAGGATAATCTGGGTAGTGTTAAAAATAGACCAGCTACGTCGCCGAACTTAGAGCCGGAGAGCTTCCCGAACTAGTTTCAGCAGATTCCTTACCGGCTGTACTTACCAGCTGCGCAATCCCCTGAAGCTTTTCCAACCTTACCGTCTCTGGCCTCTCTCAACCTTTATCTTATCAAATTTCAATGGTTCCAAGAAATCATAGTAACATACGCTCAGTCAAACCCAACGGCAAACGATCTGACAATCAAATTTGCGCCGGTAGACGCCGCGCAGAAGGATTTCTTCTTCTGGGTAAGTTTCAGAACGGACAGAACGTGCACCCATCTCTGACGCCGCAGATTCATGTGCACTGGGACGACAAATTGGGGGACGCTTTCGTAGCGGAGCTCGTGCGGCTGGCGAGCCCTAAGCTGGTGAGCTTTCACGGGCTCTGTCTATCTTCTTCCGATATCCGCAACGTCCCTGGTTTTGAAACCCACCAACTTGACTCCGTCCCCGCATTCGCACATGCTATTTTGAGGTAACAAAATTGAAAGGCTCATCTCCAAATGAGAGATGGGTGCTTTAACGGCGCCTAAGGTCATCTCATCACCACGTCATTTAGATTCAATCCTGCTGGGCAGACAGGTGAAGCCACGGCTAGCAACGCACATATAGGCAGTCCAACGAGCGACGAACTTGCTCACGTCAGTACTCTGTCCGGACCTGTCATCCGGCGCACATGCAGATTGCGCTCTCGTAACCTAGAATTACGTTACTTGAAAATCAAAGGACGAAGATAGAGTACTGATTTACGCACACTTTTGCGGCGACAAGCACGTGATGCTCCTTCTTTTCTGCAGACCCGTCTGTCCCTGCGCGGCTCATCTCTGCTGACACGTGTCGTCCTCTCGCCGCCGTTCCCCGCCCTCACGGACCTCGACCTGTCCGCATGCGCAAATCTGTCGTACGTCCTTGTCCAGGTGAGCGATGAGCTGTTCACAAAACTCTTCAATTTCAAGCGTAGAAAGCTTCACGGATACTGGAATGATTCGTCGATTTGATCTGGGCGTCTAGGGTGGGTCGATAGACGAAGCAAGTAACGATTTGGGTTGGGGTTGGTGTTACCTTAGCAACTTTCAGAACAATATAGTCAGTCTGCTTTGCACACGTTCCACTCGAATTTCCCCGACCCACCCCACCAGTTCAGGCTGCTAGAATTACTTTTCTGAACGCTCCCACCCTCCTCAAATGATTGCTTTCTGATGGCTCGGCATTGGTCGTACGCTTCGCGACACTTCAAGATTGAGTGGCGAGAGTTTTGAGAGGCGTCGTAGTGAGACTTCCACCAACAGGACTTAACATGATTCACAAGGTTAAAGAATGACGCAGATCAGATACTGCACCAGATGAAGCTCACTGCCGGTATGCAAACGGGTCCTCGGAACGGGTAGCTGAAATCGATTGTTTTCGCTTCGTTCGGCTCCTCCAGCGTTGGGCTCCTCCGTTTTCTACTTCATTTGCATCTTTGATCCGTTATCGAATTCACAATCATGACTGACACTTTGAGTCTTGTCCTGCTCTTCCCGCAGTCCCCCACACTCGTCAGTGTCAACCTGTCCCTCTGCCCCAACCTAACCACCGCCTTAATTCAAGCCCGGGGCATGACTACCCTGCACCTGGAGAAATGCCCCGAGCTGAAAACGCTTATGGTCTGGAGCGACCAGCTCACGCAAGTAGCGCTCGGGGATAGCCCCCGGTTGCAGGACCTGAAGCTGTACTGTCCACAACTAGAGGGGCGGGCGCCTACACCGCCACAGAAGGCAAGCGCACCGAAACCGTCAACGGGACTGAGTGGCGGCTTCTGAAAGTTTTCTGACTGGTGACACGTTATCAATCAGTCGCTTTGGATCGCTGCCCGTTGATCGTTGATGTTTTTTCTGGAATTCATTAGCCGTTCTTCGTTGTAGGTTTCAGTCGTTAAGCCGACGACTTTGATGCGTCCCGCTCCTAAACCTTTCCACAGGCTTTTCACAGTGACGTCATATGTTATTGCTAACTTTCAAAAAGAACACGTCGATGGTGTTAGAATGAGATGGGCTTCAAGCAGATGCCAACCCTTGTAAAAGAGATATTCCAGCGGGTGTGACTCGGATCCATCATCAAAAAGTTTCAAAATGCTCGACCCTCTGCAAAGGCTACGTCGTAAAATTCGCAAGTTGGTTTCTGATGCGCACGTCGTATCCACTCCAAAAGAGGTCTGAAAACTTCCAATGACCGCACAGTTGGAACCAGCCAAGAAATTGTTGCATTCCTCGATGGAACAGGAGAAAAAGAGACAACGTGATCAATCACATGGAAAGAACCATAATCCTACACTTCGTGGGCTACGCCTATTCGGTCCACAATGGACATATCCTATCCTTTGTTGCGGCCTGGAGTGGATTGTTAGTAGCTCAAGTCTCCAGATATGAGCTGGTCAGATCCGGTTGAGTGTTGCGACGTGAATCTGCATGAGGCAGAAGCCCGCTGGAAACGATGCTATGGATCCTCAACGCTAGCTTGCTTAACCCCGCCAACCTTTTCTCTTCCAACAGAAGGCGACCGACCACTCTGCAAATGTGCCCGAGCGGCCGCCGCTATTCGAGATGCTCCAAGAAGACTGGAACGCGCAAGGCATGGACAAGCAGCCCATGCAGAGCCTCTTCCAAGCGGCGAGTGCGTAATACTTGGTGGGAACCAGCGAATCGTGACCCAACCCAGCCTTACAATGCTCTGTGGGTAAGTAGTTCAAGTCCAGGACTTATTGTTACTCCAGATATTGCGGATCGACAGCGAGCACCACAGGGCAATATGCATGATTGATGCTATAACGAACCCAACGACACGCGTGAATGATCTGGGGATCGTGTTGAGCGGCGTCTCACGTACGGTCGATCGATTTGGCAAAAAGACCTTGGCGGGCGGCTGCTTGCCAAGTTGGTGCATGCAGCTAGACACATATATAATTAGATTTTCGGTGCATTGCGCAGTGTGACTGACACATGAACATATTCATTCATGGTGTATGTTTATACTAAATAGTGTACATGATGGTGTCAATGGGTCCCCGCTGCCCAGGACTCACAGTATACGTTCCGACTGTGACTTACTAGTAGGTTGATGAATTGAATGCCTATATACGAACTTAGACAGCTAGTCCGAACGCATGCGTATACTAGCTATATATTCGAGCTAGATATATTGTAAAAGCCTTTACAATAGATGATATTTGACATTCATTGATACGTCGGAGTCCGATCACTGTATATGTGACATATGCATGATACTGACATGATACGTATGCATGGTGGTACCGGCGCGTAGCCGCTGTCGACTGCTGTGTAAGATCTCTAGCTCCGGCGGGCGTATATGCACATTATACATGAGTCCGACTCGGGCTTCCATTGCACACGATTGGATCGGATCAAATGGCTCGTTCTGGCATCCCAGTGGCATGCATATAGCTTCTCAAACTTTAATACCACATCAGGAACGCGGGCGGGCCGGGCCGCGCCGGTCACGCCCGACGTTGTTGTATACTTGTATGCAGCTCAAGTTCCCGTATATGCACATGCAGTACGTCGGCAGGGCCGCGCGCGGCGCCCCCACCGCTAGCCGGCAGCCTCATGGCCAATCCCAGGTCATCACCGTTGCCGCAAGTCACTGCTCTGGTAGGCGGCCTTCAATGCTTGCCAGATGTACGCAGCCGAATTCCGGCCGAGGCCGTAACTCACTCATGCATATGAGTGGTTAATTTTTCATAATGTTGCACAGCCTTAGTTTGTGGGCTGGACGTGACCGTTGTCCAAGCTGGTATCATGCATGCAATACACGTGATTTTGGTGCCGCTTCTCGGCAGGCCGGGGGTGCCAGATCCTGGCTTAAACGCCCAACGGATCTCAAAGACCGTGGGTAGATCGCTGCTTTTCTAGGTTTTCAAACACTTCGAGCTACCAAGTGTATCCAATAACCGTTTGTCTAAGACCGGTTTTCAAGGACAAGACTTTCTGACATTCACAGACGCTAAAAATCTATCTATAGTCTTCTTCACGGACCATTCCTCCCAAATGGCTAAAATCGCATCTTTACAATACATGTGCTGTGCTCGCACGTTTCCTGGCGCACTTCACCGCTCGTTACCAGGGGGCTGCCATTCGCCCAATGCCTCGTCATGCTCGCCCCCTCCCCCATCCGAGTCCGATCCCGCTTCTTCCTGCAGCCACTGCGCCATCCCCCGCTCTCCCATCTGGTCCCCTCCAAGAACCGGTCCTTGCTTCCGGTTCCGTCCCCCCCGTCTCCGCCGCCCTCTGTTGTTTTCAGGACCCCTTTGCGGCGCTCCACCTAGGGTCGAGGACGGCCCATGAAAGGGAGGGGGTGGGGGCAGGTACGGCGCTGGGCCGGGCCGCCCCTCGATCTGCTGAAAGTGGGGCGGAGGGGGGCCCGGCGGAAGGGGCGGGAGTGGGCCCCGAGGGGGCGTGTGGCCCATGTACGGGAAGGGGGGTTGAACATGGGCTGGAGGAGGCCCCCGGGGTAAAGGAGGTAGGATTCCAGGAGGCCGGGGAGCCGGCCGTAGCTGCAACATAGGAACGCACCGTGAGTGCCAGTCTGAGGGTCCGTTTCCGATGCACCAACTTTGTCTCCTAGCTCGACCCACGTGCAGGGGATGCTTCGCTTAAAGTGTCGGGCTATGGAGACGAGCTTGAAAGTATGTAGGGTCTGTAGATCTAATGCTTGACTTTACTGTGCGATTCAGGTTCGTGACTTTGCTAAGGCAACACTTAAGAAGCAAGATACTGCATGCCAGGAGGTGCGCCGCATAATTGTCGGCGCCTCTCGAATCGCAAGGCCATTCGATGAAAATAACGATCGAATGCTTCAGTTTGCACAGAAAGCTTGAAGTGGTCTGCGCCAGCGAACATGCACACAATGTGGCCGGCCACATTTTCAATACGTTCGATGAATTTGAGATTGACGATGCTGAATCGCTCTCAATCTGGCCGATGCATTGAACCCTTTGAGAAAAGATTGGACGGCTGTGCGGTTCTGGAGTCCCTCCTTGCCTGAGCGGGATTCACTTGCGGCGCTCCTTCTGATGCGCTCCGACGGTCCACACGCTCATGCTTCTTGAGCCAATTTTGACAGTGCAGACTATTGCCGAATCTTATAATCAACGCTTTGCTTGGAAGGTCAGTCCGGCCTCAGTCTCCCATTGCGCTTGCAAACTTTGCAACAATTTGCTCTAACGAGTCTCTCTTTTAACTGAGACTAACCGCCTGAACGGGAGTGTTCGTCAGGTTTGCTCACCGGCTGGTACGATCCCAGGTGTGGCAGCTCTACGTCCGGCAGATCATCGTCCTGGTGACGCAGCCCCGGCCCCGGGGGCGACGGAGCTCTGGCTGGAGCGGCCCCCCGAAATGGG